GAGCACAAGTGTGACTATTTTTTTCAGGGCCATTCAAAGGAGTAGTTCACTTTTAAAAAAAACTTTTGCTTATTTATTTTATTTTTTATATTATTATTATTATTTTTTTTTCCCCCGCCCCCCTTCTTGGTAATTACCTGTGATATATATTGTGATAATTTACTTTAGTGTGTCACCCCCATGTCATCCAATATGTCCACGTCTTTCATTCTTCAGTCGAAAAGAAATTAAGGTTTTTGATGAAAACATTCCAGGATTTTCTCCATATAATGGACTTCAATGGGAACCAAACGATTTAAGGTCCAAATGAGAGTTTCAGTGCAGCTTCAAAAAGCTTTCCAGACGGTGAAAAAGAATCTGATCTAGCGAAACGATCATTTCAAAATAATAATTTCAAAAATAAATAAAAAAGTTCAAGTTTTATAAGCACAAATGCTCGTCTTGCTCTGTTCTGTGATGCACGTTCGTGACTCTCCTGTTCGGACTCGTTCATCAAAATGAACAAATCTTTTTTTGAGTCATGACTCGAAGGGTCCTAGATAAGACCCTTATTCATCATCTGGTGTCGTTTAAAGCCCTTTGAAGCTGTACTGAAACTCTCATTTGGACCTTGAACCGTTTGGACCCCATTGAAGTCCATTATATGGAGAAAATCCTGGAATGTTTTCATCAAAAACCTTAATTTCTTTTCGACTGAAGAAAGAATGACATGGACATATTGGATGACATGGGGGTGAGTAAATTATCAGCAAAAGATTTTTTTTAAAACTGAACTACTCCTTTAACCTGTTCGAATCAAGTCCATGATTTGTGTGTGTGTGTCTGTGTTCACATCACATATAGCAAGTGCTAAAACCTTTACCAAGTTTCGCACCTGAGGTTAATTTCATTGCATCAAATGGCCCCTTGTTGAGGAGCTATTTTATCTAAGCAATCAGACCTTGGCCTGGCAGACAATAAAACATGCGAGAGAGAAAAAAAAAGATTTACACTGGAGTGACCCGAGGTGGGTGGGCTCTTTTGACTTGGGCCAGTATGCAACCACCCAGAAAACCCTAGCATTGAGGTGATGAGTTTTGCACAGGCAGGCACCATTAACGCTTTCTTCAAAAAATGAAGTCTAGATAGTAATTATTTGTTGCCTATTTTAAGGTGAGGGACCAGCATCCAATTTTTTTTTTTTTTTGAACCACAATTACAGGACCAAATGCAAGAAGAAGAGAAAAGGTCGCCATATTGACTTATAGCAAACCAAATAGCATAAAAGATGTGAGTGGAGCAAAGTTTGCAGACTCAACTCTAGGGTGTTGTAATAGGTTGTTAAGATTTTAATATGTGGTTGTCAAGGTGTTGAGATATGACTCGTTTTTATTTCTCCACACTTCGCCACACAAACAAACCCTGAACCCGAATTATGAGCCGTAAATAAAACACTGAATGCAAAGGTCACATAAATAGAAAAATACAAAACAGTTCCATAAAAGATCCTACTTCTGCGATTGACCCGGTAAATGTTCTTGTAAAGGAAAGAAACGAAAGCGAGTGGCTGACAGAAAGCAATAACTCCATGCATGCATTCTTTCCCTGTGATAATGTCTGAGAGCAAATGACAGTGAAGAAAGGTGATTGGCTGGAGTTTGTAGTGCACGCTGGATAGAGGTCAGATTCCTTGGTGGAGAAACGTAATATACCTTTGGACAAGAATCTTTTAATTACCTCTGTATAAACGGTGTGTGTTTGTGTGTGCGGTGCTGTCACGTAAGGTGTCTGTGCTCCTCAGATGAGTTGTTACGGTAGATGTGCTGTGTCATCACAGAAGGACTTCTGAACTTCAGCTCTGACTCACCGTGAGGTCAGGACAGGAGCAGACTCTCTGATGAGTGTTTGAGTTTGTCTGGAGGTTAGGTTTTGTTTTGTTTACTGGTTGCGTGGTTTGGCCATATTAATAAAAACGTAAATCTAAAAATAGCTGAACAGAGGGGTTTAATGAGGGAGGCGGTGTCCACGTCTTTAGCTGTATCTCAAGCAGTCGACGAGAGTGTAATGAACTGTGATTGTGTCCTGACTGCAACATTCACGAGATTTACCTATAGTTAACTCCTATCTATCTATCTATCTATCTATCTATCTATCTATCTATCTATCTATCTATCTATCTATCTATCTATCTATCTATCTATCTATCTATCTATCTATCTATCTATCTATCTATCTATCTATCTATCTCTATCTGTCTGTCTGTCTGTCTGTCTGTCTGTCTGTCTGTCTGTCTATCTATCCATCTATCCATCTGTCTATCTGTCTGTCTGTCTGTCTGTTTGTTGGTGTGTCGATCTATCTACTGTATCTCTACTATATCTATCTATCTATCTATCTATCTATCTATCTATCTATCTATCTATCTATCTGTCTGTCTGTCTGTCTGTCTGTCTGTCTGTCTGTCTGTCTGTCTGTCTGTCTGCCTGCCTGCCTGTCTGTCTGTCTATCTATCTGTCTGCCTGTCTGTCTGTCTGTCTGTCTGTCTATCTGTCTGTCGATCTATCTACTGTATCTCTACTATATCTATCTATCTATCTATCTATCTATATCTATCTATCTATCTATCTATCTATCTATCTATCTATCTATCTATCTATCTATCTATCTATCTATCTATCTATCTATCTATCTATCTATCTATCTATCTATCTATCTATCTATCTATCTATCTATCTATCTATCTATCTATCTATCTATCTATCTATCTATCTATCTATCTATCTATCTATCTATCCATCCATCTATCCATCCATCCATCCATTTTCTTGCCTCATTTATTCTCTTCTGCACTTTATTTGTATTTGAGTATACTCTTGGGTTCTGTTTCTAATTTAACTGTGTGACTTTAATTAAACATGTTAACGTTCAGTTTAAAAAAAAGTTCCATTAGGTTTCTGTCATTCTTCTTTCTACGCCTCATAAGACTGCACAGATTCTAATCTGTGGAAACAAACCGTCATCCACTTCTGGAACATATTCCAGAGCTTTATGGCTGTATTTACTGCATGCCAGCTTCTGTGGAAGTCTTTATTGGACATGATGTTCTTGTAGGAACACACAGCTCGGCTGCCAGTGAAAGGGCTTGCTTTTTAAGGGGGAATCCCTCTCAGGTGCCAGACAGCTCACTGTATTACTTTCTCTCTTTCTTTAGTTGACCATACTTTCTGCTAATAATATAATAAAAGGGTTTATATAATCATTAAAGTGATTTTATAAAAATCAAGGTGGCTTTATGATGTTTATGATGCATGGCAGATACAAGAAAGTGAAACATGTATGCCTAAGGGAAAACAAGCAGAAGGTTAGAAAGAGAAGCAGCAGAGAAATGAGCACAAAGTTGTCTTTCATTCAGTCTAATGTTTTCTGGTTTTCCTGATTTTCATTTTCCAAAATCTTCACAATTGGCATTCCTCTCTTAGCATCTTTCGAGTTTCATTTCCTCTGGTCTTTGTTCCTCCCTCAGATCTTCAAGTTCTGTTCTTCTCTTTTCTCTTTGAGAAGATGTTGAGTAAGTCTTACAGCTGGAGTTTTTTTCTCACGTCATTTATAGAAATTCTGTTGAAAGCACAAGTGAAAATGCAGTAATACAGGAAAGCTTTCATCATCAGCATAAATATTGAAACTATTGTGTAAATAGAAAACAAGCAAGCGATTTCTAAAGTAAAATATGTTTAATGCTCTATTGTATGATATATGCATATTTATATGACCTATTGTGGTGTAAATGTTAAAAAAATTAAACAAACAAAAAAAAACCCTATTTCTTGTTCGGTTTAGTGCACGCACACTATTTTATTTATTTACATAAAACAGTGTAAATAGTTGGAAAAGGGTGAAAAAATGCAATCTTATTAAAAATTCATGCCCAAGTGCATGATGATAACACAAGTATCAGAATGTTGAGGAGGTTTTACTCAATTTGATTAGGTCGGTATTTCTACTTAATTTCTAGCTTAAATTGAGTTCTTATAGCCTTGAATTTTCGTTGTTTTTTAAATTCTTGCCTGAACTAATGACATTTGTGTTTTTTGCTGTAGTATTTAAGCTACTTCACAAAATAATTTTGATCAGTCTATAATATAGACCTATATTAAACATTCAGTGGTATCCTTCCGCTAAAAGATAGTCCCTGATTTGACAGAATGTTGCTATATAGCAATCCACTATGGCCTACAGTGATTCCACTGGTGTAAACTGGTGTTTTAAAGGTTCGTCGTAGATATTATCGTTCGTTTTAGCTGTAGGCTATTAACCAATCAGAATGCAGGACCCGCACTGTTATTTTTATATAGAGTTTACAATAAGGTTTCATTAGTTAACAACATTAGTTCAAATGAACTATAATGAACTGCACTTCTTATGTTCTTATAATGAATGTTACTGTCAAACATTAACTAATAGCCTATAAGTTGATTTGTTAGCATAATGCACTGTGAACTAACATGAACAAACAATTAATGAACAGCTGGAGTTTTATTAACTAACCTTAACAAAGATGAACAGGAACAAATGTATTGCTCATGGTGCATGTTAGTTAATACATTAACTAATATTAACATATAAAACCTTACTGTGAAGGGTCACTGTTATTTTTTAATGCACATATAGCCCAGTTACTGCGCAAAATCTAAAGAAAAACGTTTTAGGCCTATTTATTATTTTATTTTTATTCTAAACGTATTAATTTTTTACGTGTCAGCATAACTAGGATGTTTGACGGTTTATATAGGCTAGCTAACAACTTTTTAATTAATGTCTGTTTACTTAATATGTTTGTTGTGGGCTGTTATGAATGAAGAGTTTGATTAAATCGATGCTTGTTCCAGCTGAAGAGGTTGCAAGCGCGGCTATTAAGTTTTTAACGAGGGCCCGTCAACATCTTAAATTCAAACTTGAGGTTGGATTGCTTCAATAAGGGGTTAAAGGGTTAAATTTCACATGAAGCTCCAGCCAACCGCCTCCTCGAGCGCTCATCGGTGATTACCGGAGCGCGAGGGGAGGCGCATATATTCCGCAGATCAGACGAGCTCGAGACGGCATTCAGTGCGCGAGCTCCAGGGAACAAGACCCAATCCGAGCTCTTTATTCATGGATACTAACCTGGGATTGTACTTTCACTGCATGACGACCTGCTTCTTGAAGATCCAGTGTTGAGCTCTTATATGAGGTGCATGGACTCGCTAATAAACTTTTGTGAAGAATTTCTCTTAGAGTTTAATTCTATAAATTGACCTAGGCGATGCAAAAGGGTTTCTGTCTTTGGATTGTTCAGGCTTGGACAGCCATGACGACCTTTTGCAAGCTAAATCATTTTTGAGATTCCTCACAGGACGTATTTGGACCAGCACCTGGAGTACCACCAGGACAGTTTGGATTCTCCTCCATAGACTTGAGCTGGTGCTTCGGGTCATTTAAAGGGAGATCTCTTCAAGGTATGGTTCTGGACTTTTTGCGCTCAGGAGCGGTTCTAAGGCTCCTACAGTCTTCATCTTTCTTATCGGGTGGAAAATTGACATTGGAAGGAGATGAGAACCTTATTCTGCTGCTTTCTGCTCCTCACCTCGCACCTTCTGCTGGTCTCTGCTGAGGTAAAGTGGAAAGATCTCACTCAAACGGACACTTGTTATGTCCACTGCAAAGTTTTGTCACACTGGTGCAGGTCACAATTTATATAATCCATGCACTTAATATATAGGCATACAGCTTTAAATTGAATGTCATTCTTTTACAGTGTTTTTCCTATACTGGGGTTAATAAATGATTTCAGTTCAATGAATCTCAGCTCCATATCATTCTTTATGTTTTATGGTATATCAACTCAACAATTGTGGTTGCGGGTGAACATGTGATCAGCTTTTCTCTTGAATATGTAAAGTAAAAAATATGTAAAGCGTTTTTTTTAAAGAGTAATTGTACAAAATGAGTGATTGTTATAAAACATTTACATCATACGAAATAAGTGCATTTTTATATTTATTTTTATATATGATTATTGGGATATAAATATGCCTCTACAAAAAAAAAGTAACAGGGTTGACTGTTTTTGAGGGCTTTTCTAGTTCATTAGCCATTACTGACCATGTGCACAAGCTGATATTTCTCCTAATGTCCACCTTTCAGTAAACAGCTGATTTACTACACAAACCCATGGTAACAGGGTTGACTATTGAAGATCGCCCCCTACTGACAAACATAACAAAAAATTGATGAAATTATACAAAGAGGAGACGCTTGTTCGTAATTTATTCAAGATGCTGTCATTATAACTCATGCTTTTTTACGGCATTGTGCATTTTTAACGAGGGATCATTTATATAGCCTAAGAAAAAATATAAACATAAGGAGAAATATATATTTTTTTGTTGTTAAAAAATTTCCATGTAGGTTATAGCTACTAATGTATAAAATGCAATACTTTTTTTGTTGATGTGATAAGAAATGCCTATTCTGACTGATTTATGCTACTGATGCACGTTTGTCAGTGCGACGCGTAGGAACACACTTCTGTGTCGTATCAGATTAGTCGAAATCAAATGCCGAAATCCGATCTCTCTTTATGCCGACAGAAGGAGTTTGCAATCCCTCAAGATTTCATCGACAGACTGTCCCACAGCGAAATCAACAGCATCAGCGACCTCCAGCGGCTACTGGAGGTAAATTCCCCAGGTAAATTCTGCTCATTGTCTTCTTGACACCTCAGCGGACTTTGTTCAGTTGCTAATCTCCTGGGCTCGATGGCGGGGTCTATTTACAGGTGTTTGCTGTAGTTGCCGTGTGGCTTAAGTTTATCGGCACATGTCACAAAGCCGTGAAGCTGAATTTTATGAGTGGCACAAAACAATTTAAAGGTATCGTTTATACTGGCCAATGGGTGGAGGGTCATAAATAGTTCTTTCTGTTTTTAGACTAGAGCAACGCATGTCCGGGCTTACGTCACGGCGAATGGGAAGCCAAGTTTTCCTATACTTAAGCTGTCCACAAGTGGTTTCATTTGCCCACTATAATTTCATTTACAGTCGAGTTACCGGTAATTACACAAACAAAAAAACCCAAGACAGTATAATTTGGGGTGTGAGTGTAACCAGTCTGGTTTCTGCGGTGAGACCATAGGTGTGCGGGGGGGAAGGGGGGAATAATGATAACAGATCATAAATACAAGCCCTCCAGGCATTTAATGTTGCAACAGTAACAATAGTAAAGAGAAATATGCTTTATGCAGGGTTGAAATCTCATGTTCTGCTACTTGTTTTCCTCCTTAGTTCTGTGTCTTCTTCAGCCTCTTTTAGTTTGGATAATATTACAGTGATCACTAACACGAGCCCTCTCTGAGTTATTTACACAGGCACTCGCAATATATCAAATGGAGGGGCTCTTTTGAAGTTTGATATAAAATATATCAACAATATCAGCTTTTAAAAACTTTTGGGCTTGTTGGGCTTTTTGTCTCCGCTGTTGGTTTGAATTAGAAGGTATTTACATGCAATGTGGGTTATTCTCACCAAGAACACCTGGTACCTGTCAAGAACATGTCTGGGTCATATTTCATTCTGAAATGGGAAAAAAAGATATTATTATGCTATTTAATATATATATATATATATATATATATATATATATATATATATATATATATATATGAAGAGTTCAGATGCAAAAGCCTCTAAGTGCCATTTGAAATTTTCTTCTAAAATGATGATTTTTATCAAGCTTGTATATTTAAGTTCAGTAATTTCACTTAAATGGCAATGAAGATTACCTATTAATTGTAATTTAAGTGAAATTACTGAACTTACATATACAAGCATGATAAAAATGGTCATTTTAGAAGAAAATTTCAAATGGCATTTAGAGGCTTTTGCATCTGAACTCTTCGTATATATATATATATATATATATATATATATATATATATATATATAATCTCATATTTGTGAATTTTGCATGCATTCATGCCACTTTAGGAAAAACTCCTTGGTTAAGCACAGTTGAAAACAAAAATCCTGTGAAAATATAATGAGAATCACCATTTAGAATATGGGAACTGCAAAATCTTGAGATGAAATATGCTAATGAAAATTTGTGCTTAATTATCATGGTAATAATGTCCAAAACTAGGCCAATTTCTTTTTCTCTTTTGCTTTTTTTGGGTGAAATGTAATGAAATGTTTGATATATTAAATATATGTGATAAATATATGATTAAATTGACAATTGTAAGATAAAATTCCTTATTTGCGTTCATTATTAAATAATAATTATCTATCTATCTATCTATCTATCTATCTATCTATCTATCTATCTATCTATCTATCTATCTATCTATCTATCTATCTATCTGTCTGTCTGTCTGTCTGTCTGTCTGTCTGTCTGTCTGTCTGTCTGTCTGTCTGTCTGTCTGTCTGTCTGTCTGTCTGTCTGTCTGTCTGTCTGTCTTAGCTTTAGTGCTCTAGTAATCTACATTCAACATAAATCAGGCAGTCTGACTGACACCCAAAGACTAGTAAAAGACGCCTGACGCCTGGTATCTTTTCAGATCTTTTTAAAGTCAAGACTGTTCAAAGCCGTCACATGTCAGTCAGAGAGAAAGAGAAGGACTTGGAGAAGGTTGTTTTGTTGTGTTGTTATGTTGACTGAAATCGTTTTCGTTTCTCAACTTTAACCACTCAGGAACCACACGCAAAATCATCATAAAACGCATCTCGATATTGTTGCTGTGAGTGTTTTCCTGTTTTCGGGTCATGATTAGTCTCATTTAGGAAGCAGTAGCGGGCTGTTATCCCTCAGATCAGAGCGCTAACCTCATCAACTGTCCACGCGAGGAGCGGATGATGAGAGGAGGAAGGCACAGATAGGCATCTCCCGCTAATGGACGGATAATTAGAGGTTGTGAAAGCAGTGACAGTGATTTAGGGAGGAAACGGTGTCTCTCTCTCGGTGAGGTCATGGCGCGTGACCCCTCCGCTCACCTGGAACAGACTGCACTTGTTCTGCGCCTCCCAGCAGACTTTTAACTTCTCAACATCCATCTGTCCGCCTCTCCTGTCGCTAGCGCTTTCACATACAGAAGAAAGCCCCACAGATGGAGTTTGATGAAAGGACAGCTGTCAATCCGTGAAGAGGGGCTAATGTTGTCCTTTGTAATTCATTCAGAGAAAGCACACAGAGAGAGAGAGAGATAGTTTGATGATAGAGGCCTAGTGGTTAAAGATCTGCACTGGTAATGCAAAGATTATAAGTTCAGAACCTGCAATTGGCACAGTTACTGGAAGAATGCTTTCATCAGTATTGTGCAGTCGTGAGGAGGGAACACAAAAGTGTCTCGCTACTGGTTGATCGTCCCTGTAATTATTGCTCTTCAAGCTAATGTGGATAAAATCACTTGGCAAATGATACTTGATGAAAATGTGTCAGTTTTACAAGGTTAGAGTGAAACGGAGTTGAAGGAATAATAGACTTATGAATGAAGTCATACTTCTGTCATCATTTAATCACGCATTTGTCTTTCCAAACCTGTATGACTTCTGGAAGAAAAAGTGATGAAAAAGACATTTGAAAAGGAGGGATATATATACAGTATATATATATATATATATATATATATATATATAGTATATATACAGTATATATATATATATATATATATATATATATATATATATATATATAGAGAGAGAGAGAGAGAGAGAGAGAATGAATATATTTAATATAGTATTAAATGTATTATATAGTAAGTAAATGATACATATATTATTAAATTAACACATTTTAAGATAAAATTACATATTTGCTTTCATTAAATAATTAATAAATTATGTAATAAACAATAATTACTGATAGTATCTATCTATCTATCTATCTATCTATCTATCTATCTATCTATCTATCTATCTATCTGTCTGTCTGTCTGTCTGTCTGTCTGTCTGTCTGTCTGTCTGTCTGTCTGTCTATCTACCTGTCTATCTATCTATCTATCTATCTATCTATCTATCTATCTATCTATCTATCTATCTATCTATCTATCTATCTATCTATCTATCTATCTATCTATCTATCTATCTATCTATCTATCTATCTATCTATCTATCTATCTATCTATCTATCTATCTATCTATCTATCTATCTGTCTGTCTGTCTGTCTGTCTGTCTGTCTGTCTGTCTGTCTGTCTGTCTATCTACCTGTCTATCTATCTATCTATCTATCTATCTATCTATCTATCTATCTATCTATCTATCTATCTATCTATCTATCTATCTATCTATCTATCTATCTATCTATCTATCTATCTATCTATCTATCTATCTATCTATCTATCTATCTGTCTGTCTGTCTGTCGGTCTGTCTATCTGTCTGTCGGTCTGTCTATCTGTCTGTCCCTCCGTCCGTCTTTCACTTTTAAATAAATTGTATGACACTTTTGGAAGATTTGAATTGCATTACTAAAAAAGTATATCTTTGAATTGATACCACTGACAAATCCAAATAAACGAAAGAAATCCATATCAAAAGGTAAAAATGCATGATTAAATTTCAAGATTAAGTCAATATTCACTGAAAATCCCTCCAGCCTGGATCTCCAATATTATTTGCTCATTCACATACGGATTTGAAACAACATGAATCAACATTGTTGCATTTTCTTCTAGTTCCATTCTCCACAACATGGACTGTTCCTTTGAGCGTACTTGGACAGTAGTAGCCAACAGTACTTTCCTCCATTCGGCCATCTTGTGTTTTTGAGTTTGAGAGAACAAAGTTCTTGAGTTTGACATCATAACACTGAGTTTTGATCTGAACATGAGATAAGGTGTGTTGTGCAGGATCAAATGCTGAACTCTCTCTCTCTGCGGGTCAGCGCTTACTCTTTGACTGAGTCGGAAAAACAACTTAAAAACAATGGCCTTCCATTTAGTAGGAAAGATGAGACGGACTAAAACACAGAACAGAGTGAGGCTTTTGTACACATGTCACTTGTGTTTCCTGCTTCAGGACTGTGTGTGTGGTCATGCAGTCTTTTAAGTTCAGAGAGTGTGTTTGGGTGCTGTGCTCTCTCAGCATTCCTGACGCTCCCACCCTCGTCGCTCAGAGCTGGGCGCAGTCCTTCTCACTGACCGTCACACATTAGTCAGTTTGATGTTTAACTGCATTGTATACTTGGTTAAACTAAACCAAGCTAAAATATTGAACAATATCACATAACGATCAACCTATGCCATCTTGTTAATTATATATACAGTATATATATATACTTACATACATTCATACATACAGTATGCGTGTACATAGTGTATGTATATATATATATATATATATATATATATATATTTAATTTCTATTTTTATTTGTTTTAATATTAACAAACAATTTCTGCACTATATAAATATAAATAGAACTTTTAATCTATGTGCAATCATTTTACAGTATGTATATAGTATAATTTTTTTTCTTCTTTTTTTATTTGTTTTAATTGTTCACAAATGATATATGCATTAAATGCCAAATTTATATGAATATAAATTACGTTACTTATTAAATATAAATTAAAATTTTATATATTTATAAATTATTATTTTTTCAGGATTTAATTTTTTTCACACCTTTTACCACACCGCACCGCTTATGACACTTTATAATAAAATGCAACTAGTGAACTGCCATTATTTGTTTACATGTCAATCAGACTGTCACTTTTTGTTGAGTGGTTCTTTTGACAAAATATATCATATAACATATATCATATAAATATGCTTTCAGTCTGCTCAAAGTGCAGCTAGATCTATAGGAATAAAGGAAATGATGTCATGTTTCAAAGGACACGCTTGATGCTTTTGAAATCAAAATAATGATCTTCTCATTTTTTATTTTTTAATCTCTTAATCGTTACGTCACGCATGATTTTAAACCTTATTATTAATGCGAACCTTTCATATTAAGCACAATGAATCGTTTAAACAGCACTTAATAACTGACCTGACAGGAGTCCCACAGTCCCGCCTCTTCTTTAAATAGCCTAAAATGGCTGTCTTACTCATTTGTACCAGGTTGTCAGGAGTTCAGATTTGTTCTTTGGGCTTGTCAGTGGTACATAAGACATTATAATAAACTTGGCAACCGCATTCAGGGCCAATATGACATGGTTCCTCCAGAAATCCATCGTGATGAATTTCCAATTAAGCTCGTGAATAAAGCAGCCATTGTTTGTGGAAAAATGAGTTTCTGGAGAAGGAAATTATTTCATGCTTTGGTGCCACTCACGGCAGTGCCATTTCGCCTCGAAAAGGCTGCGGGGCATCTACTGGAGACTTTCAATAGCCTCATTGTGGATTGATCTTGGCTTTAAAAGGGGGGAAAAGTGATTTGTCTTTTTGGCAACAAGTAACATGAAAGTTAATATGTATAACCTGTGTTTTGATGAGGTCCTGGAAATGAGGTGATCGAGGAGGTCAAACAGAAGCACCACCAGAAGAACCATCACTCATATAAGGCCGGTTCCTCAGATCTCAAGAGTCTGCAGCTGTCCCACAGACGGAAGAGGAGTGTCGGTAAGACAAACCTTCAGTTTAAGAAGTATTTCGTCAATTAGTAGGCCTGGTTCTTGCTCTATGTAATCGGATATGATCAATTCTACAGTTGCTTGGCATCCATAAACAGTTCATGAACTTTTGTTGATATAATGGTTTTACTATTGCCATGGCACAACTTTAGCAGGCCTTGCATTTGTGTGTAGCAATTAACTAAAAACTATCAACCTGGGAACAATAATCTGGCACCAAACAGCAAATTTGTGCATGGGAAAGTGTATTACTACTCAAAAGTTTTGGTGTCATGAAGATGTTTTAATGCATTTGATTGGTGCAATTCAAATGTTCAGCACATAAAAAGCAGAGCATGTCAGTTTTATTCAGGAAATCCTAATGATTGGAGGGCAGCTCTTTATTTGATTGTCCGTGAGAGTATTTTGATTGGTGATACACAAACGTATCCGAGCCAGGAAATTCCAAACATTCAGAGTTCATGTCACAGCTCGCTGAACTGAACAGAGTTCACACTGGCACATAGAGCTCTGACATACACTCTTCCTTCCCTTTCACATCAATCGTGGAGTGCAGCGGTGTGTGTGTGCCTTTGTGTGCCGGGATATTTCGGCCCCTCTGTACCTCCCAATCACTCAGTTAAACGCACTGAAAAACTCTTAAGGCCTCAGAATAGCTGTGTGCCATTTTTGTTACAACAGTTGCTCTGAGTCCAAACCTCTAGATCGAACGCCGATCTCAGTCTTATTTTGGGTTAGGTAAATATTAAAAACGCTCTTTAATATTTGCCACTCTTGCAGTTTTAAGGGGCCTTTTTGTTTAGCTGGATGGCATCAGTTACAGAGAAGCTTTGGTGGTCTATACTTTATAAATGTATTCATTTTTTTTTTGTGTAATTTATTCCTTTCACAATCTTCTGAATGGACGTTCAGTTAATTGTATAGCAAGATCCATTTTTTCCATGTTTATCATGTATTAATTATATGTATATATACTGTATATATATACTGTATATATATGTGTGTGTGTGTGTGTATATACATATAATAATATGTATTAATAAATAAAGTTATCAGTGTTATACGGTATATTACTGTATATAACTGGAAAAAATGGTGATGCCATGCTACTGAATACCATTTTCTTTTTTATTATTATTATTTTTATTTTCATTTTAGTTTGCTGTGATTATGCTAAAGTCATATCTTTATTCTAGGATATTAATTTCTCCATGCAATCCTCATTTCTTGTGTTCAGTAGAGGAGGCGGTACCCGCCATGTGCAAGACACGGACAGTGATCCACGAGATCCCCCGCAGTCAAGTGGATCCCACCGCTGCAAACTTCCTAATATGGCCGCCGTGCGTGGAGGTGAAACGCTGTACAGGCTGCTGCAACACAGGCAACATGCGCTGTCACCCCTCCAAAAAACATCACCGCACTGTCAAGGTAAAAGCACTGCATCCCGAGTCCTGTGAAGTCATTTCAGTGCTATGGGGTTGATGTTGACATTATATCTTAAAGGATTAGTTTCACATTTCAAAGTGAAAATTCTGTCATCATTTACTCGCCCTCAAATTGTTGGGCGAGATATTTTGAAGAATGTCGGTAACCACACAGTTGATGTACCCCATTGACTTCCATAGCATAACTTGAGGGTGAGTAAATGATTAAATAATTTTGAAGTGAACAATTCCTTTAAAGGGATACTTCACCTTTGGAAAGATGAATGTGTATTTAAAATGAGTCATTTGTGTAGAAGAAATGTGATTTTTTTTTTTTAAATTTGGAGCTTCCTAGACTGAAAAAAGCCAGAAAATGTATTTTTGGCTTATGTGGATGAAAGACAACAACTCCCAGAATGCACTTGCTTCGCTGCCCTAGGAGGCCACGCCTACCGGTAACAGAGCGCAGTAGTTAAACAACAAGTCTAGGCTACTAGTGAGTCTCCGGGATTTGAGATCACCCAAAATGTCAAAAGGTGTGCATGTAAACAATGAATAGCGACTGCAGAAAGCAAAAGCTGAACCACGGATATTTTATGATCTTGACGGCCGGACATGTCCGGGAAAAAGAGGATGGTACCCCCTACTACTCAGCTTTCTCCACAGAACAAGAGCCTGCTAGCTTAGCTTCCAAAAAAAGATGGCTGACACTATGTGTTCATTCTGTGAGTGAGATCCCACCCTCTATGGACGGGTTGAGAACATGCGGGACAGACCCTACTACTGACTGTAGTCTTTAGCCGCTGGCCAACAAACCCTCAGATGATGCAAAGTTACGATTTTTGCGTCATCGGAGGATTTTTTCCAGACAAAAAATACATAAATCTCTCGTCTCAGGGGGATATGAGGGTGGAAAGCATGATGATTTGAGAATACTACACGTTTACTACTAATACAAAACTTACTGCTAAATCCTGAAGTATCCCTTTAAGCACCAAGATGTGCAGTGAAATATTTTATTTGTTGTTTAATTCTTAGACAACGTTATATTTGCTCAAACTCCAACCATCTTAGATGCAGGACAAGTGGTACAACATATGATATCACCCACAGAAATATCAGGACACACCCACTCCAAGCCACACCCCCTTTTAGTCCCACTTAAAGTCAGCATGAAACGGCAGGTGCTATAGTATTTTCTTCCCTATTGTGAGGTATGAATGAATGAAACCGCTTCTTGCACAAGAAAACATATAGGGGCGGGACTTAAATTTTTCCATGGAATTGGTTGGATGGTTGTGGTTTGCTATTGTTGGCTCTCATGTGAGTGACAGGTTGCTCCGCCCTCTCGTCAGTTAATACATCATCAGAGAAGAGCTGCAAGTGAGTTTCTTGAGCATCAAATAATCCTGATTTCGGAAGGATCATGTGACACTGAAGACTGGAGTAATGATGCTAAAAATTCAGCTTTTCCATTGCATGAATAAATGACATTTCAAAACATAAAAATAGGAAATTTTAAATTGTAATAATATTTCACAATTTTACTGTTATTACTGTATTTTTCAGCCTTGCAATTCTGAAATTGATTTACTGCAATTTCATAACCAGAACAAAAGTGGATATTACTTAGTTGTTCAGGTGACATTTTCCGGTGAAAATTATTATGTTGGCCATACTTCCAAAAATAATAATCTGTGATTCTGAACGCCAGTATCCACACCGGCACGGGACTGACCGCCTCACACTCTCCTCAAACATCGTGTTCATCCACGCTGTGCCATGCCGAAGCACAACTCGCGTAAAGTTGATAATTCCGCGAATGACTGCAATTGCAGATTTCGAACAGAGATGGCGACAAAGAGGAAAAACGCTGGACTGTAGCTTTAAAAAAACATTACAAAATTCTTATCAAAGTGCTTTTGAATGGCCATGAAAATGTTTTGAAACATTAATTCATAATTCACAATCTTCTTAATGGAGATTCAGTAGATTGTATAGCACTATCCATTTTTTTTTCCACATAAAATGAATACAGATGTTAGTCTTGTAAGGTTTTTTTCCAGCACCTAGCACAGGGATGGGTCGAGAATATATAATGTGTGTTTCTTTCCAGCTATGACTGTATATATTTGAGCAAAATGCCCTTAAGAGATATATTTACCCTTCACTTACTTTTTCCTTCTCGTCCTAAAAAAGGAGCAGGTCTGCACAAGCTACCGCTGTTCAGAGCCGTGATATAAAAAAGACAGACTGTAAATAGACCTCAGTGTGTGTGTGTGTGTGTGTGCTTTGCCACATTTCTGCTGTACTTTGGTTCATTGCAGTGATAAGCTTGTTTCAAAGGAAACACTCCTGGGTGTGGAACATAACACCAGATAATGAGTCTATCAACACTTGCTAGAGTTAAACTTTACCTAGTCTGTCTGTCTGTATGTCTGTCTGTCTGTCTGTCTGACTGTCTTTTGCTACATGTTCTTCTCTTTTGCAATCCTTTTATCTTTCTTCATGTTTTCTCTGGCATTTAGCCCGTCTCCCTCTCTCTTTCACAGTAGTGATTGAGCTGTTACGTAAAGTGTAACAGGAGTTGATAGCTGCTCTTTCTTCTTCTTACCAGCACAGCATATTCTTCTGATGGATTCTGTTCAAGTCTTTCACCTAAAGTTGCTTTAAGGCAACTCGGTTCACTCATCAGCCGTTCGTGTCATGCTAGTACAGCTCCTATCTGCTTGAGTTGGAACTGAAATCTCCAAACCTGTTGGCAAAGATTTAGTTTAAGTAACAGATGTCAAAACAGCAATAAAATATGACATACATATTTCAGCTTTAGTTCAAATCAGGCTAAAATTGGCAGGTGGATCTTCTGCACATGCTTCTATCAAAAAGACATTTGGACCTTTTAACTTCCATTCTGGTGAAATATTAAGTAATATGTTTCCTCCTGTTCAGTTCATATTTGTCCAGTCTCTTTCACCTCATCTCCCCTCCTCTCTCTCTCTCTCGTCTACAGTCCTGGTGTTACACTACTAATGATTTTACCAGAACTGCTGTGTTGCAGTTTGTATCTATTAGCCTTGCTAAAACACACACATACACACACACTCGCATGCAAACATCATCACACATTACTACAACAGGTGCTGCAGTGGAGGACTGGGGGAGGGGAGAGGAGCTGTCGAATAAACCTCATTTTATAGTGAGGAGACTCAGATCTATGGAAGCTTGTTTCCACCACAGAATAAAAGATAAAAAAGGTAATTGTGACTTATCTCAATTCGACTTTTTTTCTCACAATTTGCGAGTTTACATCTCGCATTTCTGACTTGCGTTCAGAATTTTGTGATATAAAGCCGCAATTGCAAGTTATAAAGTCAGAATTATGTGCGATAAAGTCAGAATTATGAGAAATAAACTCGCAATTCTCACTTTTTTTTTCTCAGGATTTAAAGGGATAGGTCACCCCAAAATGAAAATTCTGTCAGTAATTTACTCACCCTCATGTTGTTCCAACCCCGCTCATCTTCAGAACACAAATTAAGATATTTTTGATTAATTTTGAGAGCTGGATTACTCCTCCATAGGCTTCTTAAAGGATTGAAGCTGGCCGGCAGTGACTACAGTGGCTCAACCTTAAGTTTATTAAGCGACGAAAATTCTTTTTGTGCGACTTTGTTCAACTATTCCTTTCCTTCTCTGTGGGCCGTAAGATTTCAAGTAGTGATATTGCGCAAAGCTTCTGTGTCGCACATCATACGCAGGCTCACTATTGGCCGACGCTGGTCATGTGTGTGATGCGTGTGACGTACAACCTAGAAGCTTTGTGCAGTTTCACTATGTGAAATCTCAAAACTCTGCTCAAAACTCTGTCACTTGATAAACCACTGTAGTCACTCAGACTATTTTAACGATGTCTTTCATAACTTTTGGGACGGCCAGTTTCGATCCCTTAAGAAGCCTATGGAGGATTGATCTAGCTCTCAGATTTAATCAAAAATACATTAAAGGGTTAGTTCACCCAAAAATGAAAATTCTGTCAGTATTTACTCACCATCATGTTGTTCCAACCCCGTAAGACCTTCGTTCATCTTCGGAAACACAAATTAAGATATTTAAGATATTAAGATCACTCCTGTATATTAGTCCATAGGCTTCTTGAGGGACTTGCTGGCATCGAAATGTCATGTAGTCCAAGTGACTACAGGGGCTCAATCTTAAGTTTATCAAACGTCGAGAACACTTTTGTGCGCAAAAACAACAAAAATAACGACTTTACTTCAACTATTTGTTTATTTCTCCCTCTGCCTCGAGTCAGGTTACTAGTTTAATAGCGTAAGCTTCTGTTGATTGTACGTCACACGCATCACACACATGACCAGCGTCGGCCAATAGTGAGCCTACATGTGACGTAGCTTTACGCAATCACACTACGTTAACTGACTACAGGCCCATGGAGAAGGAAGTGAATAGTTGAAATAAAGTCATTAAAGACATTTTTGTTTGTTTTTTGTACAAAAAGTATTCTCGTCGTTTGATAAAGTTAAAATTGAGCCACTGTAGTCCCTTGGACTATTTTAATGATGTCTTTGATGACTTTTCGATGCCAGCAAGTGTCATTCCCTCAAGAAGCCTATGGACTAGTATGCAGGAGCGATCTTAATATCTTAAATATCTTAATTTGTGTTCCGAAGATGAACGAATGTCTTACGGGGTTGGAACAACATGAGGGTGAGAAATTACTGAATTTTAATTTTGGGCTGAACTAATATGGAAGCAAATAAGAGACATAACTATTTGAAATTTAACAGCCACTGATTACTTAGTTTTGAAATATTTTATTTTGAAAAACATTTATCTGAATTTATTTGTTTCGAATTTACCTCTGAAACTTAAACAGGCCTATGAAAATTCTTGAATTCCATTTTAAAAACCTGAATTTTGATGAACATTTTTCAATACTTACAAATTCAGATCAAAAAAAAAAAAATCATCTTACAGAATTTCAGATAAAATAGATTCAGGTTGATCAAATTCGACTGCTCAAATTCAGATCTCAAATTCAGATCTTCCATAAACTAACCGTTTAATATTTACATCTTGCAATTTTGACTTTATAATACGCAATTGGGAGTTATAAAGTCAGAATTGCGTGATTTAAAGTTGCAATTCCGTGTTGAAAAAAACAGTCTTTGGACTTTATATCAATTCCGAGAAAAGATTTTAGAATTGCGAGATATAAAGTCAGAATTGCAGAACTCGCAATTGTAAGAAAAAAGGTCTTTTAAAAAAAAAAGTAAACATCAAAATGTGGTTTTAGTCCCACTGAAATCAAACTTTTAAAGTTCATGCACTTTAAAGACCCACCCCCAGAGCCGCCACATCACATCGCTGCTCATTTGCATGGAGTTGACCTCTGCTCAATGGTCACGTTGCCTCAGATTAGCAAGCATCGAATTACTTAATTTTGCCATTTGTTTTGTCGCTGAATTATATATTTTAAGATACAGTAGTAGGTGATAAAAAGGATTGTTAAAAACTCAATTATGACAATAAATTATAAATTATGTTCAATGGTGATTTTAGGTCAGGAAATCAACTCAGAGTTTTTTTGACAGACTTTTAGTCTCTTCTTGGTGTGTCTTTATGTGGTTTCCTGAGGTTTTGAGGTTTCGTATCAACCCATCTCCAAATCAGCATACCTGAACTCAAACTGTGCAAATTGGAAAACGTATCCTTATCCATCAACAATGAAAAAGGCAGTGGGAGTTTCCTTAAAGTAGGAATATCTAGATCGGCATCTGAGAGCGCATGGGTGCTGTTTATTTTATTTTCATCGCTGGTTAATCAGACCGTTAAAGTTACTAAATCCGGCACACCGCTGTTCATTCCTAATCAAGAGACTAAGTGAGGATATTCCTGATTTGGAATGTTTGCAAGTGAGTGCAAGAATACAGCATGTGATGTGGTTCAAAAGGTGAGTGTTTATGTGTTTGGATGAGCCGGATTTGGATCCCTCCTTCAGAGGTTGGTATGAAGGGAAATCATACATGGTTTATTCTGGCAGGGGAAGCATGAGATGTGTTCCGAGTGTTGATTTTGGGTATTAAAGAGCCTCAAATGGCCCAGGTTAGTGAGGATACGGGCCTCATCTCTGACGCAAACGCAGAGGAAACACAAATAGTGCTAATTCGAATGAACGTGGTATTAATATAGAAAATGAAAAGAGCAGAATATTCCAAAAAGACCCTGTTGTATCAGAGTGGAAAGGTTGATGTATCAAAGTCGGACTCGGAACAACATACAGTAGCTCTGTTTTCAGGGATACATTTACTGTAAGCTCACGTTAAAAGTGTTTCATACGTCTTTTTGTGAAGTTATATACTAATATATAACCTATAAATTGACAAAAGCAGGCAGTCTTTTAATTAAAAGTCCATTTATTTGCATTGTAAAAATTTCAATGCAAAATCATGATTGCAGTAAAGCACTTACAGTACAATGAAAGTCTATGGACATTGTAGTGGATTTGAAAAAGATTATTGAAATGCTTCAATTAATTCCTCCATGAAATATGTAAATTTTACTTTTAGTGGTGGACCCATAGGTTATGTCAGCGATGCAATTTTTCTCCAACAGGCCATTCTGGCATATCATGTAAATGTTGTTACCAACTTTACATGGTCATGAATTTAAAATACAGTATATATAACTACATACATAGGATATAATTCTCTCTCTCTCTCTCGTTTGTTTGTTTTTGTTTGCAAGTGGGCTGTAATTGCCGTCACATCTATTATGTTCTTTCAATCTTTTCACTCTCTGCCTTTCAGCTGGTGTTTAGGGATGGTTTTAAAGGGCTATGACAGGAAGTGCACAGATTAGATCACCTTTTCTCCTTATCTTCGTGATTGTCTGAGTGCCAGTGTGTGTGTTTTACAGCAGAGATTTCACCCACTCTTTCTGTAACTCTAGACATGCAGGTCATGAGATAAAAGTTTCCCTTATTCCCCCCCCCTCCCAGCAACCCTTGTTCCTGTTCAGGCCTCTCTTTGTCACTCACTCAATAAGAACGATTGCTCCCCACACCCCTCTTTCTTTTCGGGTCGCCCCACCAGTCGACTGCCTGCCATCGGACCCCCGCTCTTTCCGCGGCTCTCGGTTTCGCTTTATCCGCGGCGTTTTGTCGTCAGATTTACCCACTGACAGATGTGCAGCAAAACTGCCTGTCCCCTGGCTACGTTGTCCGTTTCCCTTTGTTCCCATGCTAATTACCCATGATGCACCTCTCCTGATGCCCGTTCATTCTCTCACCCTTTCTTTATCAACCTTTCTTGCGGGGAAATCCCAATGCCAATTATCCGGACCCTGGACAATAGTCCTCACAGAGCTCAGGAGCGAGTCAGAGGGGGTTGGGGTTGCTGGAGCCGGGGCCGGATCAGATGTCACACCATTAGTGCGCTGCGCTGGGATTTCGCAGGGCTTTCATAGCGGCGTAAAGCACAGTGGTTTATAAATAGGGCTTGGAAGGGCCTCCTGAGAAACTTGGGGCTTTTTATAAAGCACATTCGAGTATGTGGGCGAGCGCATGTGTGAAGTTCAGGCATAGTCACTGTGGACTTCGAACCGAGATGCAAAGGCAGTGATAAATTGAATTTGAATGGAAATATTGGGGCGGGGGGAGCAAAGGATGATGTGGGGAGTCTTTTTTTTTCTTGTTATGACCCTTTCCTGAACCCCTTACCCAACCCCCCGACTGGTTCTCAAGCCCCTCAGTGTCTGTCTCACCCATCATCCGCCGTCGCAGAACATTCTTGCACGCCACGGGCTGTTTTAGACTTGGCTCTGTAAATATAACCAAGCGCAAGAATGTCCAAGAGGAGGGAGAGGTGGGCAGCAGACAGAGGGAAAGAGGCATAAACCTGTTACCCGGTGGACAGAGCGACCGAAACTGGCCTGTCTCACCGCCTCTCGCTCCCCACCTTCATTTTGACCCTCTGTACGTTCCTCTATAGGTTTGTAGGGGTTTCCAAGTGTTGCGTCATTTGTTCCATGATGTTAAACCAATTGCACTTGCACGGTAGACTGAGTTTTTATTTGCACTCGGAGCGTCATGCATTTAGTGATTGAGTTTGAAGCCAGAAAAATACGCACAAAAACGCACAAACCTGAATGCTTGGCCAACTCTGGAGTGTTCTGCACACTCAATGTGTATGTGGACACATTACCTTTTATTTTTTACCAAATGTGCGTTCATTTATGTCTCACTTCTTACGAACTGGTCATTGAAGTAGCTCTTTGCTAAAAAGCTCTTCTTACATACAGTATATGTCAGCTTTCTTTTTAGATATGTCAGCAAATCAGCTCATCAGTAGCTCTGATGAGATTATCGTGGTTAAGATTAACACTTCTCCAGTTCTGAATGTGCCAACTGGGCAGTGTGCATGAGCTGAAGCCTGGTTCATAATACATATAATGCGCATGTAAATGAATATATGTCAGGCAGATTGCAATGTTTCAGGTTGGGTTCCTCAAATCCAATGGCTCAGTGGTTCATGTAGGTTGTCTACAAACCAACCGAAAGGTTGGTGGTTCAATCTCCGGTTCCACCTGACCAAGTGTCGAGGTGTCCATGAGCAAGACACCTAACCCCGGCTGCTCCCGACGAGCAGGATGGCGCCTTGTATGGCTGACGCCGCTGTCGGTGTGTGAATGAGTGTATGAATGAGTGAATGTGAGGCAAATTGTAAAGCGCTTTGGTGGCCATCATTTCTGTGAAAGCGGTCCATTTACCATTTTACCATTTCTAAGAAAGCTAATCAAGGTCTATATGTAGGTGAGTTTAGTCAAGTTTTTGGGATAAACTCTGTAGGACAGTGGCCCTCTAGGGTTGGATTTGAGGAACCCTGGTTTGGGGGTTTATTTAAACAAAACCAGTGTTGTAGTACTCGAGACTCGGACTCGTCTCGGACTCGGTCTCGAGACCATATTTTAATGGTCTTGGTCTTGTCATGGACTCGTGTCCATTTGGACTCGGAATTGACTCGTACTCGAACATTTTTTTTTTTAGGACTCGGAATTATTCCCGAGTCCACTCGAGTTCAATTAAAAATATTTTTAATGTATGTTAATAAAATATTTCTTTAAATTGATTGACATGCCCAGTGATTGGTGATTTTCTAGTGCGCAACTGCGCATGACAAATTGTAATAAAATTACTTTTAACACCACCTACTATGTGGCCTTTTTACCCTAAACTGATCATATTTTTTAAACTCCAAGTAAATTCAGTAAAAAAAAAAAAAAAAAAGGATTTCTCTGAGTAAATAAAAGTAAATTAGGTAATCAACCCTCACTGGTCTCGGTCTCGACTCGGACTCGACCGTCTCTGGTCTCGGACTCGACTCGGACTCGACTCTCTATGGACTCGGTCTTGACTCGGACTCGACTCTCTCTGCTCTCGGTGTCGACTCGGACTCGAGTGAGGTGGTCTCGACTACAACACTGAACAAAACTAATGTCTAACCTTATAAGTCCTTGATTAGCTGGTTCAGGTGCGTTTAATTGGGGTTGGAGCTAAACTTTGCAGGACAGTGGCCTTCCAGGAGTGGCCTTCTAAACATATACCACCCCACCATGAATATAGTCAGCCAAGCATTAGAAGAACAATGATTAGGAATATAGGCCTAAGCGTCAAAATGAGTACAACAAAAGACATGAGTCGATCCCTGTGTAAGGCTGTGTGAGTTTAGTGGGCTTTGGAACGGGTAACTGTTTTGGGCTTATTGCCCAGAAATTGTTCTACACATTTTTTCCACTGTTTCCGCCATTTGGCAGTGTTAGCTGAGCTAACTGGTCATGAAGTACCCTGTCAGGATCAGTAAGAATCTGTGCTGTTAAAACATCAAATCTGAATACCATTGATAATCATGCGTTCCAATTAAAAAAATGGGCATACAGAGCTGACATGATAACCCGTTTTTTCTCTCTTCTACCAGGTGGCGAAGGTAGAGTTTTCCTCGCGTAAGAAAGCGAAATTGAAGGAGGTGCTTGTCCGGTTAGAGGATCACCTGGAATGCGTGTGCACGTCACATCATCATGTGATGGAGCATGTGGAAGCAGACGCAGGTATATATTGTATGCATACATACTCTGAATGTTTAGCCTGATCTTTGAATGACTATTTGGCGATGAAGTGTGCAGTCTTCGGCCTGTGGCATTGTGCTGCTACCACATACAAACACACCTGTTGGTCAGTCTGCTATTGCCAAACTTCAATGTTTGCATGAGCTTGTGTTATACTGTGTTTGCCAATGATGCAATTGAAGGCATAAGAAAGGCAACAGGTGTGTGCGAATGCTGAAGCACGTAGACGTGTGTCTGAGGTTTCTCCTTCAGGTTCAACAGGTTTTTCCTTTCGTGTGCCGAGATAAAAGGGTTGGAAGCTCATAAGGCTCAAATATTTATGAAGTGCAATTACAGTCTGTTTTACACCTCCCCGAGGCCATAAATTCTTTCTTTCTTTCTTGCTTTCTTGCTTTCTTCCTTTCTTTCTTGCTTTCTTGCTTTCCTTTTTTCTACTCAACCAATCTCTGCCCATCATCTGCTTGAACTCTTCCCCAAACTTGTGTTTCCAGGCCCACTCACAGTTAAAAAAGGTAAAAAACGGAAACACAGAAAGCATGCAGTGGCAGCACAGATCAACAAGGATATTCAATAAAAGTCAAACATTTCCTTACACTCCGCGGACCAAAATATCCTCCAGGTAGGACAGCTGTAGGCAGAACCGCTGCCACTTCTCAACCAATCATTAGCATGATCCAATCAGGAGAAGGAGAGAGACGTCCAATCAGAGTCACGCAACACTGAACTAGAGACGTTTGCACTGTGCTGTTTTCGCTTTGCTGCATGTGTCACGGGTTTGTCTGTTTGATGCCACACTCAGAAAAAAAGGTACAAAAGCTGTCACTGTGGTGGTACCTTTTCAAAAGGTACACTTTTGTAAAGGGTGCATATTGGTACCTTAATGTACATATTAGCACCTAAAATGTACATAATAGCACCTAAAATGTACATATTAGCACCTAGAATGCACATATTAGCAACTCAAATGTACATATTAGCACCTAAAATGCACATAATAGCACCTAAAATGTACATATTAGCACGTAAAATGAACATATTATCACCTAAATGTCCATATTAGCACCAAAAATGTACATATTAGTACTTAAAATGCACATATTACCATCTAAAATGCACATATTAGCACGTAAATGTCCATATTAGCACCTAAAATGTACATATTAGCACCCAAAATGCACATATTGCCACCTAAAATGCACATATTGCCACCTAAAATGCACATAATAGCACCTAAAATTTACATATTAGCACCTAAAATGTATATATTAGTACCTAAAATGTACATAATAGCACCTAAAATGCACTTATTAGCACATAAATATCCATATTAGCACCAAAAATGTACATATTAGCACCCAAAATGCACATATTGCCACCTAAAATGCACATAATAGCACCTAAAATGTACATATTAGCACGTAAAATGAACATATTAGCACCAAAAATTTACATATTAGCACCTAAAATGCACATATTACCATCTAAAATGCACATATTAGCACGTAAATGTCCATATTAGCACCTAAAATGGACAAAAGTTTACCTTTTGAAAAGGTACAGCCCCAGTGACAGCTTTTGTACCTTTTTTTTCTGAGAGTGCACTTATTCATGAAATCAAATTGTGTTCACCATCTATATAATTTAGCTCTGTTCTAAAACCAAGTGAGCTGCCTTGCTGTCTTTTGCCTTCTGGCAACTACCTTTTAAGGCGACATCGTAACTGAAATGGAAGTGACTTCTTTTGGAAAGCTTTTCAACTATGCAGAAACTCGACTCCAATTTAATCCAATAGATTATCGTATTGTTAGCATAGCCCTTTTTAAAGACACATTAGCAGTGAATTCAATAAAAGTACTTTGCTTTCTTCGTGAGGGATCAAGTAAAGCATCATATGTTTTTTTCTTAAAAAACATTTTCATACCTTTTGAAATAGCCTTTTTCCAACAGTGTGTCTATGATACCTAAAAATGCTGTCTAGCTAGGCAGCTCACTAGGTTTTTGGAAAAGAGTTTGCGTGTTTGTGTATGAAAATGTGTGGATTGATGGTTTGGTGAACTTGATCACAAAGATTGTGTCTTTCACATTGGTCTTTCTTTCTTAAATGTGCACAGCCCGCCTGATAACCCTCATTAAAATCACTGTGTGGTGGATATGTGTCACCCAAACACAAACCGCATGTCTTACTAAGGAACAAATCACAGTCTTAACTTAAAAAAAAGCAATTGCTTGTTGACAGCTGTTTTGTTTTCTTTCTCTCCCTCCAGTGGACATGAGGTGAAAACGCATCATACGAGCGATTGAAAGACAACAGTGGCTGCGTAAAACTTCGGGGGGGACTTCGACCTCTGAATTCTGACCCTACTGACCCCATTGCTGTTCAAAAGAAAAGATACTGTTTCCAGAGGAACATTGTACACAAACACAACGCCAAAGGTGCTTTCTATGTACTCTGTCAAACACTGAAGACAAACAAGATTGGTATTCAGTTAATTATTAAGTGGTCAAACACTGGGCAGGAACGATGTTTGTGTCGTCTCTCTGTTGTTTATGTACGCAACTCTCGTAAAGGTCAAAGATGAGGAGAAAGTCTTTTGGAGAACACTAAGTAGAGACCATGAACTTCACATGCTTGGGTTGGGATGCGCTCAAGCAGGAGTCCTCGAAGGATGAACTAACTCAGTGGACTCAAAAAGAGGAAGAACATAAGGGATGTACTGTCATGTAACCTTGCTAACGTGGAAGACGCTATTTTCTGTTATTCTCTACCTTCGTCCTCTTGGGTCCAGAACATTTGAACTGCTATTTCCAATGTGCCTAGAAAGCTCTGTCCTTCCGAAGATTTCAACTGCCTGTCCGTGAACAAAGACTTACAGAAGACTTACTTCATTATGCCAGAATAAAGTATTTATGTATGCGATCTCTCCTTCTCACCCTCTCCGTTTCTCAGTCCAATGTGAGAGGAGCTCATCTTCTTTGATCTGCAAGTATTAGCAGTATCATTTTCTCAATATATCATTTCATTCTTGCTTATAATTTACTGCATATCTCAAAACTAGGTTTTTGTCCTGGAAATATGTGTCGTGGGAAGACATGTGCAAGAGATAGTTGTGGAAAGATGCTTTATTTTTGTTAAAATATATTTATAATGCTAATGTAGAATCAAGCAGGAAGTATGTTTATGTATTCAGTTATTGTGGTGTAATGGTTGTATGATGGGACGAGATGACCCTATGCTACTCGGTATCAACAGGTTGGCCATCACACATGTTCGATGGCAGTCATAAGATGTTAGTTCATCATTTCCTCCTTTACTCGCCGTAACACAATAGTTAATGCTAACATACAAACATAGACAAAGGTCATTCAAATAACCAATAAACACTTACCTTAGGTATGAAGCTTTGTAATAAATAAACAGATCGAAAAAAAAAAAATACAGAGTACATTTTTATCATATTCACACAGTGAAGACACCAGAAATGTCAGATTCTGTTACGTCGATTTTTGAATGACATACCATTCACGTTGGGCCTCAAATTCCCAGTTTCAGTATAAATTGTTCATTCTTATGTCTTAAATTTACATTATAATTGAAGGTTTATGTAGAAATGTAATTATTTTCCCCTCGATATCCCCACAGAAATGCTCTCACTGCTTGTGAATGAAGACTGTTGGCTATGAAAAATGTTTGTTATGCTGCCGATTGTATGGATTACACCATTAAACTGAGTGTGATTATATGCACAAAATTACACTGATTATTCTTAATAATCAGGCAATGCGCACAATCATGTAAATAACTCAAAGGGATGGTTCACTTTGAAATTAATTTTTGGTATGTTTTAGCTTACCTCAAGGGCATCCAAGATGTGTCTTTGTTTCCGCAGTATTTTCAATTTTGATATTTTTAGGTCAAACCGTTCTTGTCTGTCAGTCATATAATGGAGGTCTATGGTCACCACCTCAAAGAGCGTGCACAGAGAAGTCCAAATTAAACATGATTTAATGTAAGTACACATTGATGGCCTAAGACACGAAACGAGCGGTTTGTGTAAGAAAACGAACATTATTTATATCGTTTTTACCTCTTTTAACCACAGCCATGTCCAAGTGATCTCAAAATTGTGGTTTTAAAGTGATTTCAAAATTGACATCTACATCTTGGATGCCCTTGAGGTAACCTTAAACATACCAAAAATTAATTTCAAAGTGAACTATCCCTTTAAAACAGTCCTTTCCCAATGGAAGAACTGAGTTTAAGAAAAACCCGATTGCCATATCTAGATTTTTGCCTAAGACTCTGTTTTCACAACACCTTTAACTCTCGTCTGGCGACTCATTTTGTGCTCACGTCTGTTCACATTTTGACGTCAAAATCCTTTAATATCATAAAGGGGGTTTGTTGTGCATGTAAACAAACACAATGTTTCTTGGGCAGCAAAATGTTAGATGGTGTTTAACAGAAACCTAAGAGATGAGTTTGTGCACTGAGATCTCCGAGGGCTGTATTTATGACATTTACAGTCTGTTGCAAAAGTGCTCAAGTAGGAGCTTTCATGTTCTTCCAGGCCGGTTGTTGACTCTGGCTTGAGTCGTGTCTTTCTGCTGGGACTCCACTGGTTCTTGTCATTTTTGACACATGCCAGACAGATGGAGCAATCCTGGCACTGCCTCTATAACAAAGTTCGACACTTTGTCACACTCCTGACCCTCAAGTGGCGTGTCTGGCCATCTAAAGAGCACCTGGACGTCTGATTCACTGCGAGTAACACTCAACAATCTATGGAGAAATTGAAGGGGTGGAGCAAAGCTTTGACTTGTTTTATTCTTGTGTCTTAATGTTTGTTTTGTATTTGTAACCGTGAGTCATGCAGCAGTCTGTCTGGTACAACCCATATTCACTTTCTACAACATCATGGGTGTTTGACCGAAATATATACAATTGGGCTGAAGTCGCTATTTTGTGGTTTCAATTACAAAATGATTAACCAAATTTGTAGGGCTGGTGGTGTATTTGTTTGTCTAGTGGTGTGTGTCCTGATTTAGCTCCTTAGCTTCTGCGGTTTTGTTATTGTTCCCCGTGGCACTCTCTCGCTTTAGCAGAGATGGGTGATTTAGATTGTTATGTTCAGGTGCTGGAACCTGCAAGTCTGGTCAGTGTTTCTATTCTGAACTGCTTGTATGTTTTGACAATTCACTTCTGTCAGTTGCTTAAACTGTGGCATTCTCTGGTCACACGCACATTCTCTCGTTAATTGTCCCAATAGGAAGTACATCCCGACCGTAGTCTTTTCCACCTCTCTCTTTTTTGGTGTTGTCGTAAAGTGCATTCCTACATGACATCTTGCATGTCTGGAGTTGTACAATAACAGGACATAGGATCATGGGCAATCATGTGTGAAATACAGAAACTTTATATGGAAAAGTAGTCTGTTTATAGTGAGCAAGTGTAAGAACAAGGATGAAAATATTTCCGGAGTCATTCTAGCTGTACAAATATAACAATGACTCCCTGCTCAATATAGATAACCAATTTCTAGGTCAGGGTTTGCCCACATGAGGTTTATGAGCCTCTTTGTATGATGGAACTACAGGTGGCTGGTACTCTGTAAAAAATACTGGGTTGTTTAAACTCAAAGTTGGGTCAAATATGGACAAACCCAACTGTTTAGTTAAAGGAGTAGTTCACTTTTAAAAAAAACTTTTGCTGATAATTTACTCACCCCCATGTCATCCAAGATGTCCATGTCTTTCTTTCTTCAGTCGAAAAGAAATTAATGTTTTTGATGAAAACATTCCAGGATTTTCTCCATATAGCCTAATGGACTTCAATGGGCTTCAAACGGTTCAAGGACCAAATGTTAGTTTCAGGGCAGCTTCAAAGCGCTTTAAACGACACCAGACGTTTTTTTTTTTTTTAAAGTGAACTACTCCTTTAAGCATTATATTTAATTTTTTAACCCAACAGTTGGGTTTGTCCATATTTGACCCAACTTTGGGTTTAAACAACCCAGCATCTTTTAGATTGTAAGATTTTGATTAAAATGCGTACTGTATGTAAAACAAATCAAATAAATAATGAATATATGAATGTTTACAATACAAATAATCACTTTATTCTGATCTTAAATCCAAGTTATGTTTATTATACATGAATTATTGTTATTGACAGGTTGGAACATTCCCTGATACTCAGGTTATCCTTTAAATAAATAATTTAGATAATAAGGTTAATTAAACAAGAAATGTTCCCACCCCTGCAAGCACAGTATAGGACAATAAGTCTGATTGTTCTACACTGAATTTTACTTCTTACTCTGTCCCAACCACTCCCGTAGCATCACGTTACCCACGGACAACTACCATTAATCCTATAATTTATTGGAAGTGGGGTAAGGTTTGTTAGTGTCCATTGTATCTAGAAAATTGTACAAGAATTACTTGCCATGCAATCACGGCGGTTAAAGCAATATCTAGATGGCATTAAAGGAACCATTCTGTAAGACAAAAAAGCCTTTTAAGTTATGTCCAATTTGCTCATGGAAATGTGCCACTACTAATTCACTCTCTGGCACATCCACTTATAAGGCTGAAGTCAGGCTCTCCACATCCCTGTCGGCACACACCCCATATACTGATTATTGAGGTTTGAACAGAACAAGTGTATTCATTTTGGAAATGGATGCTTCAGAGACCGAAGTGTAGAGATCTGACCTGGTCAAATTACACTTACATTTATTCATTTAGCTGACACTTTTGTCCAAAGCGACTTACAATTGCTAAATTTGTCAGAGGTCACACGCCTCTGGAGCAACTAGGGGTTAAGTGTCTTGCTCAGGGACACATTGGTGTCTCACAGTGGATTCAAACCCGAGTTGCTCACACCAAAGGCACGTGTCTTATCCACAGCGCCATTACATACCCCACTTGTTGAATTTTAAGAAACGTGTTCCCACAGACCATAATTGTAAGGTGGTGAATTGGCCAATGCTCACTGTGAAGAGTACATTCAGAAAACTACTGTAGCTGGATAAAGCCCCTTCCTCCTGCTGACGAATCATGCTTAAAGGTTGCCAAGAGGTAAAACCAAAACAAGCAATAATAGAAAGGCACAGGTATTTTTTTCTAGGCCAGACAGGGAAAACTGTTTCAAAACTGTTTACAATTCTGTTTGGTGCGGCACAGAAATTACACACTCGAGGGTGAAGTGTGTAATTTCTGCTGTGATTCTATGGTGATGTTGTGTAAATCCTCCCACTTTCATTGCATCTCTTTTCATTCTGCTGATGCACATTTTTTCTCTCTCTCCCTGCGGTTGGCTTTGGCCTATCCTAGGCAGGAACAGTGGACACTGGACAGTGGACATGAGGCTCTGGTCAAGACATCCTGGCTCCAGGGCCTCTGCACAGTCTGTATGAAACCTGGAATGTGAATATGAGTGCATGTAAATGTGAGAGGACACACACAGAGGTATCATTTCCCCAAGACCTCACACAGTGACAACAACTATTTATTACCAATAACCTTCCTGGTGCCTCTGAGTATGCTGAATAATGGAGTGGTGAATTACCTTTATAGCAAGATATCAATCAATGGCAATGGCAATGGCAGCCTCCAATGTTCGGTAATCATCACTTCCTCTTAAAGACACGTACATTACATGTAAATCAACAGCATACAGTGGCCCCAAAAATTATTTAGACACTTTTAGACACTTATTGTGGTAAGCCACACTTAAAAGTGTCACAATTTTACTGCATTAGACACACATTTTCAAACCAAATGGTTTGTGCAAACAAATGACACTAGAGCTTTTTTTCTTTTTTCCATTTTGTCCAAATTCAACATGAAATACGAATTGGCGTGTCATACACACGCTACTTCATGAGATCAGTTTGCCAAATTTTTGAATTTTGTGTGTGTGTGTATAATTTTATGTCAGTCACCCTTATGTTCACATGAACATGTTCCACAAACTTTGACAACGAAAGTGTCCACTATTTTTTTAATCTTCATTTTGAACATCTGCATATGCATATCTCCATTTTGTGTCATTTTTTCCACTGAAATGTGTATGTGCAATGTATTTTGAAAATTTTGAGTATTAATGCAAAGACATTTAAACATTCTTAATTGTGACTTTAGTGTCCACTTTTTGTGGCCACTGTATCCATACACATACAAAGATGCATGATGACGCTATTTAAGGAAGCTCTATTGTAACACATAATGACACATTGCATTCACTTCTGAGAAGTCCTGTTAAAAGAGAGAGAAAAATGGAGGAGGGAAATATGTGGCGATGTCTTGGATCGCACACGGTCTCTCAGGATTTGCGTCAGCGGCCAGTTTCATCCGTTTTGGAGCCGTGTGGTATCTGGAGGCTTAATCCTGAGCTAAGGCTCATCTTGTGCTCTCATTCACCACAAGTGCCTTCTTTAGAATTGGTAAATATTAGCTCAAGATTATTTTAGAAATAAAATAATTTTATGAAAGGAAGCCACTGCCAGTGATAAGGAATCTATTTAAATGTATAGCTGCTGGCATTGGGGTTTATTTATTATTTGCGCAGCAAGCAAAACTGACTCGGTTAAAGCATTCCTGTGGATATCTAAATTCAGAATGGATATGAGGTCCTTCAGAAGTTAAAGGTGAAGTGAGCAAATTCGGCACCACTAGAGGTCCCAGTCTAAATCTCAAAATAATGGGCTCTAGTAGATTTGTTTCATGTTTGTATACTTTTATACTCATTATAAACTAGTTGCAATAGCTATAGTAACTCGTAAAAACATATTTTCCTTTCTTATGTCTAAAAACTGGAAAATGTGGACTGATGTGTGTGTGTGTGTGTGTGCGTGACTATCTTCTTGTTCTGAAAGATTCATTTCCAGAGCACTTCTGTGATTCCCAGAGAAGACGCTGAGCTGGCAGTAAATATCCAACAGTTTTGTTTGAGCTAAGATTGTTCAGTGAAGTGGAATGTTCACATGTATATTTTTAGACAAAACATCATTTTTCTTGATTTACTGTTAACAGTGACTCATACTGTCACTGTGCAAGTATCTTGCTGTCCATGACTCAATGCTGTCTGAGATTACGTTAAGAGACAGGAGATGTCACGAAACATCTTTGTCTAGTTTTTTTTTTTCGTTTAGAAATGTACCTTTAATAGACCTCTTAAACAATCATCAGATGTCCATTTCAGAAAATTTCAGATTTGTGGAGGAATCTTTCTCTTTGGCACAAACATCACAGACGTAGGGTAGTGAGCGCCTGTCTTTCACGGTTTCCTCAGCAGGTTTCTGCGTATGGATAACAATATTAGTCACGTAATATACGTTCTGAATGTTTAAAACCATACACCAGTATGTCTAAATACACCACCACCCAGACATATCACTCTCACAAGTGCTCCACCAGTCATAAAAACCCATGCCAAACTTGGATTAGCATGGGTGAAACTGGATGATCCCTTATGGTGTTTGTGTCCTTTTCCTCACCGGTGCTTCCCAACGTGATGGGTGACCTCTCCTGGAATGTGCCCCAGAGTTATGTCATAAATTATTTTGAAGAGAGCATAGGAATAATCCCTATTTAGGTCTATTCACATGTTATTGAAGCATTTGTTTCTTCTCTGCCCCACCTGACCACAAAGACGTGACCTTTTCTGAACGACAGCCAGTTCAGCTGGAAAAAAAAAATCCAGGAAATCAGTTATGCATTTTTAAATACAGTATAAAAATACAGTATATTTGTGGAACAAGCATGTAAACAGGTCACAAAGAGGCTGCTATGCTGGCAGGTCACTGTGGGTACCTGGGAGTGGAGCTTTCTCAGGAAACGGTGAGTCAGGCCATTCTGAATGTGTCAACAATCCCTCTGTCCGCTCTCTGGACTCAAAGAGTGTGTTGTTCCCCCAGGTGGAGACTGAGGGTCATCCGGGTGTCCCCAGCTCATGGAAAGGTTTAGTCAGCTGGTTTTGAGAGGCTGTTAAAATGAGCCTGAGTTTTGAGTGAAAAGGCTTTGGAAAATAAAACTAATGTAATGGGAAAAGTGGAATCCGGTTTATTAAACCAATTTTGTGGTGATTTTTTAATTTTACTACATACAGTATAGCCTATATTGCCTGAAAAACACTTTGTTTTATATCCAATATTTACAATTACAGAATTTCAGTCAAATATTTGCTTATTTATTACCCATAGGCTATATTTGAAAACATGAAAGCCTATATATATATATATATATATATATATATATATAAAAATTGTTTAAGATATTTAGGCCAATTTTTCCCAGATCACATTAATTAAATATATCATTGTATATTCCAAATCTTTGTAATCCTAAATCGACATTACATGACTTTTAGCTTAACTTTTAGCCAAATCGGTCAAGAGATTTCCACGACGCATGCACGAGAACTGAACTGAAGTAGTTGAAAGAAATCGCAATTCCCACGCATGCGTCGAGGAAATATCTAGAACTCGTCTCAGGCCTATAAGGAAGAAAAGGAATAGTCGAATAAAGTAGTTATTTTTGTTTGTTTGTTCGCACAAAAAGTATTCGCGTCGCTTGATAAACACTGTTGCCACATGGAATATTTTACAACATTTTCTTCATTGACTTTCTGGGCCGTCAAGTTTTTCAATTAGGCAGCCTATGTAGTGATCCAGCTCTCAAATTTAATCAAAAATATCTTCATTTGTGTTCCGAAGACGAACGAAGGTCTTACGGGGTCGGTACAGCATGGGGGTGACTGAGTAATTTATGACTTAATTTTCATTTTTGGGTGAACTAACCCTTTAAACTTCACAAATAAGAGAGCACCACATGATGATAAACTGAAACTATGTTCAGAATCCTAATTTCTTACGGATGTGTTTGAACTACAGAAGGAAAAGCAAGAATAAAGAACAGTAGCAGAAATAAAGTAAAGAGGGAATACGTGATTTGGAGAAGTCCAGAATGATAGGTCAACAAAGACAGAACCCGTATGGAACTAACACACTATAACAATAATATTAGTTTCCCCCCAACGACAATACAGTTCTTGCCACGACGATTCAGAAGGGAATAAAACAGAGGTGTCTCTTATTGACAAGTTTTGTACATGAAATAGTGAAATTTATGTTAGCTGTCTGTAACATTATGTAAATAATTATGAGAATAAATTAATAACAGTGGCCATCCTCCTGAGTAGTAGCCTAAATTGCGACATCGATCGCCACAGCCATAGGGGAACACAAAGGAAATAAACGTAGGAGAAATACGTACATGAACTTTAGATACTTACCTTGGAAGTTAGTACTGACATAATGGTAATAATCCCAAAAAATTTGTTTTTGACTGATTATAATTTACCTCAGGAGTCAGGAGTCAGAACCCTCGCGGTTGGAGTAGGTAGTTCACACATCATCCAGTGAGTGGCAGTAACGCGCTGATGTGCCGCTGATCTCCGCATCGCAGAGGAAGACGAGCAGGAGGAAGAACACAACACACGAGTTTACAGTCAACTGGGATAAAACATAAAAATACACGATGAAAACAGAAAAACAACTCAAACAACAGGAGAATGAGAAGCATTTCAGGTAAATCAGAAGTTTAATGCTTCTTCAGTGTCGCCAGTGTTTCAGTGGGTGTCTGGATATTAATTTCAACTGATAAAAATAACCAAAATTAACACGTAGAATGTAGAAATATTGCTTAATTTAAACCAAATAACGTTATATCATATATGGTTTGACAAAATGGTTAAGAGATTTCCCAGTACATAGCGTAATTAATTCTGGTATAAGTGTGTAACTTTGCATCTTTCAGGATTTCTTATTACACTGGCTTAACGTCATGTATTAATATCCACTGTGTGTGTTTGAAAAGGCTTTGTTCAAAACCTGAAACGCCACCTTTATAGTCATTAATATCAGTGTCTAAAAGAAATGTATTTAGGTTGTGGGACCCTTGTATATAAGCATAGTTCTGAAATTATATTCATCTTATATACTAAATGGTTTAAATATCAATTGTAGGTATTTCTTAAACATATATCTTTTGCTTTTAATCAAATCTCAATGAACTAAGCAGTATTAAAAAAAAAACTATTTTGTTCCTTTGTCTTTATAGCCCCATTGTGTTCAATACAAGTTTACTCATTTGATAGGTGTTGATATATCTAATCTAAGTTTCTTATCTTTTATTAGTGCAAAGAAGTCAAATAAACATGCTGACCCTGCATCTGACGATCACCTCCAGCAGATTCCTCGTCGTTTGCGTGACATCATGAAGAGCAAAGAGATGATGAAACAAGGCTCAAAGAAAAAGGGAAAAGGTGCCTACACAACTTTTACAAAATATATTAGAATGGAAGGATGGCAAATAAAAATTAATATATGATATCATTCATTAGAAGCTTGAAGATTGTTCATCACGTTAATGATACGTCAATATGAATTATTGCCAGTATGCCTAGAGGGCCAAATTCCAATAGTGTTTTTTTTTTTGAAGCAGTTGTTTCAAATAATCTCACACTGAACTTTTAAACATGCAATATATATGTTTTTGTCACTGCACATAATTGCAACCCATTTATGCAAGATTAGAATTATTTTAAAACAATTACATGCAATTTGCCCGTTGGTTGAAAATTGATTGAGGGTGGGCGGCATCACCCTCTGCTGTCTGGGTTCTGTCTGCAGACAAGCTAGTGACCCACAAATATTGCTCAAGGACACGGCCAGTGGCAAGGGCAGCGGAAGATGGGACATCTTGCTGTGTGTTCATAAATATCTCTTGTTTTAGCCTCTAAGCCAAAGCTGCTCTCAGGAGATATTCCTGTCCCACACTTCCGGAGAGGACGACAAGAGTCAGAGAAAGCTTACATCAACCGCATGACCCAAGAGACTGAACATGTCCTCTTCCTCACGAACAACCAACTAGACCGACAGCCGGAGGTCGAGCTAAAAGAAGAAGTAGAGAAGACGGAGGAAAAGAAATCTACTAAAAAGAATTGGTTAGTTTGACACACATTACTGATTAACACTCAAACTGCAAAGTAGGGACGTTGATACAGTCTTTAAAGGGACACGGTGATGGAAAAAATAACATGACAGACAATTACAGAATCAGCAAAATGATTTATAATGCATGTTAACTTTTAGGAAAGGATATAATGCATTGTAACATATATTATGAATATCCTTTATACTGCATCACACATAAAGGCTTTAAGTAAAGTGTTACCCAAATATTGCACGTTACGTTCGCTTGCAAAACCTTTTGCGTTTTGCTCACGGAACCTTTGTGTTCCCAGAAAAACTTTTTGCATTCACTTACATATTTAAAAAAAAAAAAAATTCTATTATGTTCAATGGGGGGAAATTTTGTCATAATTATTGCATTAATACTAATCATAATTTATTTTTTTTTTTTTTTGACATTTTCTCAAAACACCAAAAAAGAAAAGAAAAAAATATTATAAAAAAGGAGTAAAAAAAAAAAAATCATGATTTTTTTTTTTTAAATATGAATCCCAGCCTTTGGGTCCATTTGGACCCGAACACCCCGAGTGTGACTCTGAAACGAACAACCCCAGAGGGTTAAATAATCGTGCAAAACGCTTGTCACTCTGCACACCCTTGACTTGCTTGTTGCAAAGTTTCTCTATAAAAAAGATTATAGTCATTTCAAATACTGCCATAGTGGGTTAAAGTTTATTTAGCTTTATTTTAGGCTCAATAAAGAGAAACTTCGGCATCAGAGAAAGAAGTTAAACAAGCAGGAGGATCGTGAAGAGGAGGAGATGTTTAAAGGTATGTATATATATATACATATAAATTTAGCATTCTCATCAAATGTCCAAATGTACCCTGAGCATCATGTCTCGTTCTCTTAGATGAGGTAGCATTCGGAGAGGTTGCCATGGCGCCTCCATTACTGAGTGTTAAACCAAGGAAAGCCACAGTTAAACCCCAGGTAAGAGATTAATGCATCCACTCCCTTTAAAGATGCTAATTAAAATCTATTTTGTTCATAATTCATAATTCCCATCATGATTTGACCTCAAGGGGGCGCCCAAAGGTCTTCTCCTGAACTCCCTCCTGGGTCACAGTCCTGTGTCGGTAGCCAAGCCCTCTATGGCGAGGAAGAGGATAATGGAGGAGGAGCGGGAGAGAGCGGTGCAGCTGTACAGACAGATGAAGCAGCAGCAGAGAGACAAACATGAGCAGGACAGGGCATCCAGGACCTCCACATGATACTCTACTCTTTGTATTGTTTAGTGTTCTATCATGTCTATATGTATATTTAGTTATTCTATACATTTTTGCTACCTCTGGTGGTCAACAAAATTTACAAGTGGATTGTAGCATGACTGTATAAATGGCAAAAATAAAATGTTCACACTTTTATATAATGTACAGCGATTTCACATGCGTCTGTTCCTTTAATACTCAAAGTGACTCTGGTGATGAAGGCTTATCAGTTGTCAGTTGGATCCTATTCCAATGTACCTGGTTAAAGCCTGCTTATCTTCTCTCTATTCTTTAATTACTGATATTATACACTCGTCGCTTGTTTCTGGTATTGTTCAGGCTGATTCAAGTAACTTTAATCATTTTCACCCTATTTCAAATCTACTGTTTCTTTCTAAAATACTGGAATGGATTGTTGCAGCCCAGGTATGGGATCATCTTTCTGTTAATAGTTTGTAAGCAATTTCAATCTGGATTCTATCCATATCATAGTGTTCTCTGCCCACAGCGTTCTGTCAGATTGGATTTTGAATCACCCTTCTATTTGAATCATTGATACCCTTCTGACTGTGTTTTGATCTTATTTTACGGGTCATACTCTGTTTACAGCTGGAGCAGTTTCAAAGCTTTCATACGTCAATACAGGTGTTCTGCAGGGCTCAATTTTGGGTCCTCTTTTATTTTTTATTCATCATTTTCCTCCATCTTTCCTCTCAGATTGTTCAGCGGATATTAAAGAGTGGTTTACATCAAATCTTCTTAAATTTAACAGCAGTCAAACAAAAATTCTTCTTAATGGTTCAAAAACCAATCTGGCCAAATCAATTCCTCAGTGAATATTAATAAAAGTGTCTGTTTCTAAACAGGTTAAAAGTTTGGCTGTCATCTTTGACCGTACTTTATCATTCAAAATGCGATTGCTCTGCATATTTCCACATGCGTGATAATATTCAAACTTGTCCGGCTCTCTCGGTAGCCTATCTGCGATTCTTGTCCATGCTTTAGGCCATGTTTACACGAAAACGATTCTGAAGAGAAAACGCAAAAGTGGCGTTGCGTCATCTTTTTTTATTCTGCGTTTAGACGAGCGTTTTGTGTGGGAAATCCGCGTACAAATGGAGACGCAGGCGGCTAGGATTGTATACTACAACAACACCAAGTCCACGCGCCTGCGTACAACTTTCACCGTCAAGCAGACTTTTGCGTTTTTACCGTTTACACGGGAACGCGGCGGTGGAGCGTTTTTAAGATTTCCACTCTGGAGGGTGGTTTCACTTTTTTTTGCGTTTTTGAGCCTCAAAAACGCCGTTGCCGTGTAAACGAAAGGCACATCCGATCAAATATTTTTACGTTTTCACCCGCGAGCGTTCTCGTGTAAACAGGGCCTGTGTCACTGATCACTGTAACGACCTTCAAAACTTCTCTACAAACTCCAACTACTGAATTAACTCCTCTAGCTGATCACATTATTACTCCCATATTACACCTAAACAAACCATGGCATTATGGTGGTAATTTGCATTGAATTTTCTTTTATTTTAAAACTACAAAACATTTTAGTTTGTTACAAAATACCGAATATGTTTCTTTTTAATGCTTTCCCTTTTGATTTTAGTTGTATCAATCTACTAAATTGCATAGAAAGAGTGCAAATTAGTGTTTTAAGATGTTACTAAATAGATATCCTCTGTGCAATCACACATTGTGAACAATTTGCAATAATATTCATCTTCCAGTATATTCCTTTATTTGAGCTAATAGTAGGAGTAGAGCGCATCCCACTCCAGACGCCCACTTCAGTCCAAACACGCGGCCCAGTGCCACAGATCGATATCATGAAACATTGAAAGAGGAGAAACTCACAATCAAAGCGGTCGTCATGGCAACGGCCCAGCCGGAGTTCCACCAATCAATGGGCTTCATGAGGCTGAGAGATGCTCAGCGATGTGCCAACGTCCTACATAAAGAGTGTGGGACAGGGAGCCTGGGCAGCACATACTGAGAGAGAGATTGGGGTGAAAAAAAGGCATCCAGAAGAAAGAAGGACGACGTTAAACACAGGACGAGACATGGTGAACTCCGGACGAATCGTTCCTGCGGTGTTCTGCCTGGCCAACCTTTGTTTTGCACTGTGTGGAGGAGGTAAGATCATGGATCTTCTTTATGAAATAGCCATATATTTTTCACATATGTTATGAGAGATGATACTTTTTCCTCACCACGGTTTTGGTATTTAACACAAAAAGCTCCTAAACATGTGTAAAATCTTTCTTTAAATGTCCAGACACAAGGTTGCCCAGTTCAGTTGCAGTTAAATGAGAAGTCACCATCTTTACAGGAAATGCAGAAGCTTTCAAACGACCGAACTGATCAAAGTGTCAGGCGCGACTGAATGTGTCACATGACTTGAAGAGCAGCGAGCAGCATTCAAAGCCTTTCATTAACAAGGTCTTGCTTGTGGTTTTGTATTCAGGCTTGCATGTTTTTCCTGGGCTCTTTGACACCAATAGTGCCCTTGCAAGCTGAAATGCAATACTATTGCTCTCATACTTAATATTACATGATTCTGAAAGGAGGAAAATTCACAGTTTAGAGCCAAATAGTGGTGGAGGGAAAATTCATAAAACCAGTTCCACCATAAATGACATACAAGAAGAAATGCCTACAGATGTGAATCTATGAGAGATTATTCAAAAACTGATGAAATATGGAGTGCAAATGCATGCAAGATCATCTAAACCCCTCATAATATGAATTGTTCTTGTTGTCCTCTATTTGTTCGTTGCCCCAATCGGTTCACAAATGCCGCATTTCTGTCCTTCAGCAGCGTTGAAGCCAGATGTGGTATTGGAGAACAGCGCTACCACACTGAACCATTCAATGGTGCTGGTGCAGCGCATGGAGGCCCTGCTGACCCAGGGAAACGGCAGTGACGTGAGCCTGCGCGTCCAGACCGTGAACACGGACGAGGTGAAGGTGATGCAGGTCCACTCGCTGGTGTTGACCCTACAGAGCGACGTGTTTGAAGAGCTCCTACAGACCCGTAACTCCACCGCGATGGTCCTCAGAGAGACGCCAGACTGTGCAGCTGTCTTTGATAAGTTCATTAGGTGAGTGATTCATTAATAATTGGTCATTTAGCAGTATTATACAAACTGATTTACAATTCTTTTGGAGCAACACATGGTTGAGGTGCCCATGCTTAACCCTTGAATCTATAAAACCTTTTAGTTACAAGCCTAAATCTATAATCAATAAGCCATAACAGTCCACTAATTTGGGGCAAATGGGGTTTCTGGGAAAAAGTCTATGATGTAATGTGTTTGCCTTTTAGTTGACTTTGGTAGATAGTAATGTATTGCTCTTGTAATGATCTCATTTTTTTTAGATTCACTTTCTCTTGTTTATTTGTACTATGAAGTACTTCATTCATTCATTTAAAAGTAATAAAAAACTAGTATTTTTTTTATTTAATTTTACATTTTCTATATTGTACTTTCCCAATAAAACACATTTTAATTTATTTTTTAATGTATTTTTTTAAAATACATTTTTACTTGAAATTTTATGTTATTTCATATTGTAGATTTTCAACAAAATTATTTAATTTATTTGATTTCTTTATAGATTTTCCACAAAACGCATTTGCAGAGAAAATTAAAAAGAGTATTTCAACCTCACTTTCCACAAAGCTAATGTCAGTCTTCCTGGGGTCCATATTAAAATGTATAATTCAAGCCGTAACATACATTGATCTGTATAGCCTACTATTATAGTGAATTTTACGACAAAATTAGAGATAAAACTAATGCAACCAATGTACACATATTAGAGGGACAGTCAAAAGGACACAGTGGTGAAAGATCATGAATATTTTTCAGGTTTTACCTACATCTAGGCCTCAGATAAATGTACAGAGCCCTGCACATGACATGCTGGAAAAAATATGTAGCCTATATCGTGCCTATGAATTAACAATTTATTCTCACGACACGCCAGCATGCTGATCCCGGTCTCATCCAAAGGCGTCATATACTGTCGATTTTGACATTTTGTCTACATCCAACGCACATGGCACCCTTTAGCATAATGAGACGCAGATTTATATGGGCCAGAAAGCGCCTCCTAGTGGTCTAACCCTAACCCTACCCCAGACATAAACCTACCCATAACCGAACAAAGCTCATAACAGAACAAAGCTCATGTTATATTGAAGCTAAAAGGTGCCATGTGCTTTGGATTTAGACGAAATGTCAAAAGCGTCACTATATGATATATATTGCCCGGCCAAAAAAAGTCGCTGTTTGGATTTAAATTGGCAAATGCCTAATGGTGTGTTCACACCGAACGCGAATAGAGCGTCAAACACGCATCTATCGCGTCTAGTTAGACGCTTGAACATTCGCTCAAGTTCAAATTTTTCAACTTGCGCGGAAGACATTTGCGGCAAACGCGTCGCCCAATTCTATGATGCGTCTATTTGCATTGACTTTGTATGTAATCTACTTGCGCAAATAATTAAATTCGCCTTCGGTGTGAACACACCATAAGAGTCTATGCTTGGATCATTATTATGTTTCTAGCATATGGTATGTTTGGTATCAGTTCTTCTAACGCTAACTGATGGAGTGTGTAGCTTTTAATTTCGTAAACAACCATGTACTGTAGGAAGACGCATCATGGCCATATTCCAGGATGACAATGATTCATCAGGATCAAATTGTGAAAGAATGGTTGGGAGTGACGAATTATTATTCATGTGATTCAATAATATTCAATAATACATTATTCATGTATTATTATCATTATTATTCATGAAGAATAATTTTCACACATGAATTGGCAACTCCAGACCTTAAATTCTTGACCAAAAGATCTTGACCAAAAATGCATGCACCTCTTGATGGATATAACATCCAACATCAAGAGGTGCATCAATTTTCGGTCAAGATCTTGTATTGACAATGCAAGAGTCCAGCACTCTGTAAAGTCTCTTCCAGAACATCCCAAAAATGTATGCACCTCTTGATGGAAATAAATGTTTGGAATGGGGTGTTTTAGTGCACCATTTCGTACAGCATTCAGTTGTGTTATGTCATGTTATCATTCTGTACAGGTTATGGAGGTAAAGTTTCAGAGTGATGAAAGTTATCTCAGGTAAAACGTCAATGGCAACGTTGATTTCACAGCCCGACCTCTTTCCCTGCAGGTACTTGTACTGTGGTGACATCACACTGCGTCTGAACCAGGCCATTCCTTTACACAAGCTCGCCAGCAAGTATCATGTGTGGGACCTCCAGCAGGGCCTCACCCAATACATGGCCCAGCACCTGTCCAGCGACTCGCCCACGGGTCACGTGGTGGCCTGGTACCAATACGCCACGCAGATCGGGGACGTGAGCCTGCAGAACAGCTGCCTGCAGTACCTGTCCTGGAACCTGTCGTCGGTTCTCCAGAGCGCCGAGTGGAGCTCCGTGAGCCCAGAACTGATGCTGTCTTTGCTGCAGCGCTCAGACCTGGTTCTCCAGAGCGAACTGGAGCTGTACGAAGCTCTGGAAGCCTGGATCAACCAGAACCAGCCTTCAAGTGAGACGGCCGAGAACGCACTCAAAGCGATACGTTACGCCATGATACCACCTCAACATTTGTTCCACCTACAGAAGAAGTCTTCTCTGATGTTGAAATATTACGAATCCGTACGCGATCTTCTCTTCCTGGCCTTCCAGTTCCACTCAGCCTCACCCGTCCAGCTCGCGAAGTACTTCGACGTTAACTGCAGCCTCTTCACGCCACGTAACTACCTGTCGACGGCATGGGGCGCCCCGTGGGTGATCAACAACCCCACGCGGGACGACCGCAGCTTCAGCTTTCAGACTCAACTCGGGCCGAGCGGTTACGACGCCAGCAAACGAGTGACGTGGAACGCTCTTTTCTCTCCGCGCTGGCTTCCCCTCAGCGTGCGATCCGCTTACACGGAGCAGGGGTCCCTGCAGCCCACTCGCACCGACGGGGGGCGTCCGCGGATCATCGTCACACCTGCCACCTCCAGCCCGGACTTTGCTGGCGTCAGCTTTCAAAAGACCGTCATCGTTTCGGCACGCAAGCAGGGGAAGGTGGTGGTCCGTCATGTCTACAACTTCCACCAGAGCACGGAGGAGGCGGGAGACTTCCTGTTGGAAGCGGACCTGCAGCGTAGAGCGTCCGAGTACCTCATTGACAGCTCGCTCTACCTGCACATTATTGTGAAGCCCCTTTACCACAGCCTCATAGTAGCCAAAAAATAAGAGTCTAGTTGCTCGACCAATGATTTATGCGCTACAGGCTTGTTTTGCGTGTCCAAATGCATTTACATTTAACTGCACCACATTTTGATTTTACATTCATATGGATTTTTAATCAATCAATATCAAATCAGCACCAAACTTTAGTGTTGGTGCCAAAATTCAACCCATTCATTTTTAAAATACATTTTCGTGGTGCGAAAAAAACTAAAAAACAACAACCCAAAAACATTTTGTCACCATTTAATCAATTCCCAGTGGATAAAATCAAGGTTTTCCCTATACCTTTTCTCATTTAATATTCTGTTAATTTGAAAATAAGGCTGGTTGTGAAATTTTGGTTACTTTAGTAACATTTTTTTATTATCATGCTGCTTGAAAGCTCACCCACATTTTAATAGTAATTTGAAGTCACATTTGTACTGTATATTGCCATGTTTGACTTTAATTTGTCAACCCCTTAAATTGTACTGTGAGTTTGCTTTCATAGAAAGAAAAAAAAAATGGATTAATTTTTTTGCTCACTTGTTATATTGCAATTCATGTTATGTTTCAATAAAAACGAAATTTCTGAACCCACAAATTACTGTGTTTATTCCTTACCAAGATATATTGGTTCTACTTTATGAAGCTGTGATGTTTCTGGGCTGGAAATGCATTTGGGAAAGCATTGTTATTTTTTTATTATTTTTTTTTTTTTTTAATTTCATATTGTCTTAGATAACAATGTGACATTAAAAACTTTTTGCAACTGTTGGAAGTATTGCAACTATGCATCTTATGTTTAAATAGAGATATCTTAAAAAGCGTGGATAACTCTCACTCAACTCTCAACAAGAAACGTCATTATTGTTTTTTTTTCCTTTTCTTCTGGTGGTCAACGAGTGACACATCCTATTTAGCCATTGAGCTATTCGAATTAAGACAGTGGTTTAAAGCTTGGCTGCTGGTATGCAGAAGCTTACTTGAGTGTTGACAGGTTTCATCATGATGCCATTTGGCTGGTGTAACGCTATCAGAGGATAACTATTAGAAAGCCATCTGGAGCACAGCAGTGCAAACACAGCATTAAGAAGCAGCTGCTGGAGTGATTATGCAGGGCAGGTGCATGCTGGGAAAGAAACATGATGCTCAGGCTGCAGGATGTTTGGGAATACTTGCTTACTGCACCGTATATAGGGCTACTGTATAGTGAAAAATTAAATGATAAACTTTTTAAATGGATGGATCTATGCTACATTGTCTTATGACCTCACTGTGTTTGTGTAACAAAAAAGGTGGCTGCAAACAAAATCGCATATTTCCCTATTATAGTAGGCAAAAAACAGTAGGCCTACGTGACAAAAGAAGTTTGTCCAAATTCACAGTACTCATAAAACAGTTGGTGAAAAGTGTATGACCAACTACTTCTGGAGAAATTCTGAAGTGTGCATAATGGACAATCTATCTATTAATGAGATATATTGTTTTTGGTTTCTCACACAGCTCAAGTCGAATGCATTTAAATGCGACAGAAATTAAAGTGTATTGAAGTCCCAATGTAGTCAATTTTATCCCTTAAAACTCACGTTTCATCCCTAAAAACGTAATATTTAAATGTTTTTTCCTTGAAAAAAAAAATGTGCATGCCTTTAAATAGCTTGAATGTAACTCTACACCCTTGCCTCATTTATATGAAAGTAAAAGATCTGAGCTGGCCCGCTCTGGCCCAAGGTATTCGACGGGCCAGAAATCCTGGCCGTTGGCCCCGAGTAAGCCCCGATCAAGCCCAGGAATTGACAGTGGAAACGCGACTGGCCTTGGCACGCACTAGCACGGCTCGAACCTGGCCCGGCAGTGGAAACGCGGCTAATTAGTGACTTGCAACTTCTCGAATCTGTCACTGCACATTTAAATTTCGCGCCCTGACTTTTGCTACTCTTTTCGCGATATAGACCATTTCAAGGACGTAAACAATAATAAACGCGTTGGAATGCTACTGCGCATGTCTGGCCCTGAATCGTCTTATTGGTTGGCGCCTAGCCAATCAAATGGGACTTTTGTACACGAAGATGTCACGAAACCCGCCTCCTCAAGGATGTTCTGAAACGCTAACATGGCTCAATGCATTAGACCATACACAGTAAAAGAAATAGACACAGCGACCCTATTGATTTCAACGGAGAAGACTGAAGCCTGATTTTTGCACTTCCTGCCTGATGTCTGAGCGACTGCGCAGACTCAAACCGAGCGTGATGACAGTCTGACAGTTGTATATCTTCTAGCTAGCTGAGCCAAACCAAATCTGAATCATCTAATTCCTCAAAAACATCGTTGAAATATTTTGTACCGTTGCTTTTATGGGCTCTCTATCTATGGGCTTCTCCCTTGACTTTATGCCTGTCCCCCCAATGGGCCCATAGACAGTAAAAGATTGCCTGCGAGCTTCTCCTCCATACGGTAATGTTTCTATTGTGCGACAGAAAGTTGCGTGGTTATGACGCAGTCATTAGCCTATTTTTACAAAAATGGCTTCTACAGGGCTGTAATGTAAGATACAAGGTAATGGAGAATTTTAAACCCTGTCGTGTTTCTTTAGAAATAAATAATGGACAAATGAAGTCTTTGGACACCTCAGATGTATATTCGGCAGGTCCCGCTTCAACTTACGGCTGATGGATTACCCTCTTGTATAGACTGATTTAAAAGATTAATTATATTATCAAACTTACTAAACAGATTTAAGAAGTTGCAAGTGCCAGTTTGAGATTCCATGCGGTTCTATGAATATACAAATTAGCCCGGCCTCTACTCACTCACACCAGCTCAGAGATCCACTCATTGACAATAACATATTATCTTTATCGTATTGGTTAAAATGTAGTTTGTGATGTCAGAAACACCAGCGATTTTGAGCCTGTATTGTTTCAGAAAATACTCATGGTGTTGCCACATGAATTTCACCACAGGCGGACTTAAAGTGCACACAACGTGTTCTATATTGGCAATTGTATTATGTAATCTATATGCATACACAAAATGTGCATAGGCTACTTTTAGTAGTGTGATAGTGGTTCATTGTCGCTGGAGATCATTAACGGAAACTGCTTTATGTAATCAGGGTTGGAGGGAATGTGTTTTCTGTCAATACTTCTCACTCAGGAAATGTCAGACTGTGGAGATGTTAACCGCAATGCAGTCTCTGCTATCTTGTATTTTGACATTTTAATCTTCATAATGCAGTTTGTGTATGAATGGCACTACACAGTCAGTGCAAGAATGCAGTTTAAATTCAGACAAATATATATAAACTCACCTAAAGGATTATTAGGAACACCTGTTCAATTTCTCATTAATGCAATTATCTACTCAACCAATCACATGACAGTTGCTTCAATGCATTTAGGGGTGTGGTCCTGGTCAAGGCAATCTCCTGAACTCCAAACTGGATGTCAGAATGGGAAAGAAAGGTGATTTAAGCAATTTTGAGCGTGGCATGGTTGTTGGTGCCAGACGGGCCGGTCTGAGTATTTCACAATCTGCTCAATTACTGGGATTTTCACGCAGAACCATTTCTAGGGTTTACAAAGAATGGTGTGAAAAGGGAAAAACATCCATTATGCGGCAGTCCTGTGGGCGAAAATGCCTTGTTGATGCTAGAGGTCAGAGGAGAATGGGCCGACTGATTCAAGCTGATAGAAGAGCAACTTTGACTGAAATAACCACTCGTTACAACCGAGGTATGCAGCAAAGCATTTGTGAAGCCACAACACACAACCTTGAGGCGGATGGGCTACAACAGCAGAAGACCCCACCGGGTACCACTCATCTCCACTACAAATGGGAAAAAGAGGTTATAATTTGCAAGAGATCACCAAAATTGGACAGTTGAAGACTGGAAAAATGTTGCCTGGTCTGATGAGTCTCGATTTCTGTTGAGACATTCAGATGGTAGAGTCAGAATTTGGCGTAAACAGAATGAGAACATGGACCCATCATGCCTTGTTACCACTGTGCAGGCTGGTGGTGGTGTAATGGTGTGGGGGATGTTTTTTTGGCACACTTTAGGCCCCTTAGTGCCAATTTAAATGTCACGGCTTACCTGAGCATTGTTTCTGACCATGTCCATCCCTTTATGGCCACCATGTCCCCATCCTCTGATAGCTACTTCAGGATAATGCAACAAAGCTCGAATCATTTCAAATTGTTTTATTGAACATGACAATGAGTTCTCTGTACTAAAATGGCCCCCACAGTCACCAGATCTCAACCCAATAGAGCATCTTTGGGATGGGGTGGAACGGGAGCTTCGTGCCCTGGATGTGCATCCCACAAATCTCCATCAACTCAAGATGCTATCCTATCAATTTGGGACATTTCTAAAGAATGCTTTAAGCACCTCGTTGAATCAATGCCACATAGAATTAAGGCAGTTCTGGAGGCGAAAGGGGATCAAACACAGTATTAGTATGGTGTTCCTAATAATCCATAGGTGAATGTATATATTAAACTGTATTTTTTATGAAGCTGCTTTACCGACTGTTTACCGATTTCTATGGTCTCCTTGTATCACCAATATACAGTATATCAGATTGACCATCATAGACGTTGGGGACTGAAATAGAGGATCATGAATGATCCTATAAATATGTGGGTAGCTCATGGACAGGTTCATTGGAATTTCACAGTGAGTCACAGAGTGTTTTAACTTTGTTTTGAAGTTAGCATACCGTTTAAATGGCATTAATGAAATGAAATTGCCTTCTGAATTTTCCAGTTATATGGCTAGCAACTGATTTAACGCAAAGTTTTTTTTAATTTCCTCTCTAAAACACAATGCAGCTCTAAATGATTTGAATTGTAACAAATGACATATTAAAATGTTAGTAGCGCAGCCCGTGGATCAACCCTTATTGGAATTTACCAACCCATATACGCCACCATGAAACACTCAACACTTTTGTTTGCAGACTCAATGCAAACAAAAATCAGATACATGATCGAGTGAGAAACACATTGACGCATTTACTAACATGCATTTAATCTACTTCACTGGTCTGTGAAACTGTGCGTCATATAGTTTTCACTGCCCAGCATGGTAGAGGGATAATCCTAATCTCAAAACCAGACTTCATTCATCAGGAATAACATAAGAGATTAAACCTAATAACTGTAGAGGCCACACCTGAACTGACACTGCACCGTTAATAACTTTCACTGCAACAGCTGCTTCATATTACCTTATGCGTACTTTATTTTGTAGCTCAGATTATGAAGGCTTTGAACTCGCTTGAGAGGGATTTGTGGCACAGAAATACTTATTCTTATATAAAATAATACTTGTTCATTAAAGTGATAGTTCACCTATGAGTTTTCAACCTGTATGAGTTTATTTATGCTGCTGAACACACACAAAAAATATATATTTTGAAGAATGTGGGCAATCAAACAGTTGATTTTAGCCATTGACTTCCATTGAATGGAAAAAATGGAAGTCAATGGGAACTGTTTGATTGCCAAAATTCTTCAAAATATCTTTTTTTTGTGTGTCAGCGGCAGAAGGAAACTCATACAGGTTTCGGAACAAAATATGGTTGATTAAAATATGACAGAATTTTTGGGTGAACTATCCCTTTAAGTATCTGATGCTCAGTGAAATACAGTCAACTGATTTTTTCTTTCCTAGTAAAGAGGACATGTCATTGGATAATGTGGAAAATTGCCTGAGGGAAAAATCAGACTTTCAGCAGAACAAAATCCAATCCTCTCATTGCATCTCCTGTGTCCAATCGATTCTCTGTTTACACAAACTAGGGTCATGGATTCAAATGAGTCAAGCCACACGGTCCTTGCCTGGATGATCCTCAATGTCAACTTCATTTACAGTCGAAAAGCGAATTAACTTATTCTCTCTCTTTAAATGTATTGCAGCACACATCCTTATGTGATGTCATCATCTGGAATGTCGTAGGATTACATAATATTCGATGTGATAAAAAAAAATACATCTTTATATCAAATATGCAACAGGCAAGAAATATTAATAATAATATATTTGTCAAAGACATTAATTTTTGCATTTTGAGAACTTACCAGGACGTAATTACGCATAAAACCAAACAATTACAAATATGGACTGGACAAATCAGGCAAACTTGTGCAGATGATCACACAGCCGATTAAATTGTTAATCAATAGTAACCTTTATTGTGATTTATTTTGATAGCTACTGTCACAGTCGTATACATAAAAAAACTCATTAGATATTGGTTCCCTACTGTTTCTGGTTTTCAAATACCAGCATTGTAAGTCATTATTGCTTGGGTTTTAACATGTCATACAAAACAAATAGTTTTTTTTTCTCTCATTTTGTCAACATATTTATATTTTATAACCTTTCCTCAATAGCAGCAGATAAATAACATTCGAGCCTTCATTCATAAACGTTAACATTCATGTCTTCAGTCACTGAAGCTATATTGCACATCGAAAGGACATATACTGCTACGAACATGACATTCTTTACATATTATTCAAAGATTTGCTGTAGTGTATTTACAACTCTTTGACCGCTCATACTGTATGAATGGCAGATTTCCTCCAAACCCTGAGATGTTGAGTGTGCTTTGACAGACCCTGTGTGGAACTGACTGACTAGCTTTACGTTTACTAATAAGTGACCTAGATTAGCTTATACGGTCATTAAAATGGATGGCTAATCTTCAGTACTGATATCGTAACACATTTATTTGCATACAGAAGTATATTTATAGAAAGAGGAGAGACCTATGTTAAGAGACCAGCTCATTAACAGGTTCTTTTCATTGTTTCCAGCTTAAGTTTTCAAATAATCTGTGAACACATAGCTGTTCACGTACTGTCAATAACAGCCACAATTGAAACGTGAAATATGGATGCTGGGGTTCTAACTTTATGCTCATTTATCATTGCGGTGAGTTTTAAATGCTCAAAAATGCCTCTATTGTCGGTTTAATTTCCAAGACGAGATCAAAAGGAAACATTTGGTTCTCATCTTCACTACCGGCTTCACTGCACCGCATCTGCTTTTGAAGTCAAACATGAGTTCATCACGACACAAGGTATTATCTCGAATGTACTAATAGCGTGCAAGGACAATAGGGCAAAATAGTCAGCAGTCTGTCCTGTAAAATCATTGTGACTTGTAAAATTATAGCTCTGCTCCAAAACCTAGTGAGCTACATACTTAGACAGCATGTTACACATTCATAGACTGGCTTCACGACGTGTGACAACATTATGATACATTAGGAAACTACTCTAACCACTTTCATATCATGCATTTGTATGCCTTTTAGAGCACTGCATCATTAGCAACATGCTAATGTGAAACTTATATATTTTAATTTCACCTTATATAGAACCTTTTCTGGCATAAATGGTTCTTTAAAATTGAGTCAAGGGGCCTCATTTACAAAACGTTCCCACAGCATATGCTAAAATCCATGCCAACATTCATATTCATAAAAACGTTTTTTTGATGTGGAAACGTTCTTAGCGCCCATCAGGGTCTAAGCAGACGTACGCACTTCTCCTTGTGGCAGAGAATCGTAAAACTGGTGGTATTTGGAAATCTAGGCAATTCTTGCCGCTTGCCATTCTCAAGTAAAGCATTTGGACATTGACTGGTGCTCTTTTATATGTTAATGACATTAATTCGATGTCATTTACAAGGTGGATATCTGAAACCATTCAGCCGCCATTCAAGATCATTCGCAATTTATTCATTTTACATCTGGCAGAGAGGTATTTGTTCTCTAAATCACACCTACAGACCTAATTTGAGAAATTATCGTACGATCAAATGTAGGGCGGTTTCTACGCAGCATTTTATATTGAGACCCAAGAACCCTATTCTATAGAACGCCATTGAATAATATTTTCTAGGAGTGGATTTTTTTTTCTAAGCCATATTGAGTTACTGTGATTGGTTTGGAATTGGCTTACTTGGTTTGGAACAGAGCTTTTATTATCTATAACATATGCCAATCTTGTCTATATTACAAATTGATTGTGAATAAAGTGTCAGAGTACAAGTTCATGTTTGTTGACCTTCGTAGATAAGTCAACGTGAATGTTTCAAGACATCTACAACCCAACCTTTTGGGTTCCTCTCAAATCAATGGCAACATGCTCTCAAAACAGCAGCAAAACAGCCTTTCCTCAGTCATTTGTACGCTATCCATTTGCTGTACATCAACGCCATCCCATACAAAGCAGATTCATATCTCTGGCTGCTGTCTTAAAGGTTTGAGTTGGAGTGGTAAAGTATCCTGACTGGAAGCCGTGCTTTTGACGTCATCAATATTGGATCCTTCCAATGCCACACTGTCTCTTTTGATGTTATGCTGGTCCTCTTCGTCATTCTCATCATCGTCGTCGTCATCCTCCGTTTCCTCTTTATCCATGAAGGCTACTTCGTTCTCATAACAAAAAGAGTTCGAGCTGGATGTGACGTACTTCTTTTCGGCCAAATCTCGAGCGCTGCATTGAGGCGTGCTGGGGACCTCGTATGTGCTCTCAAAGTGCGAATAGTCCACTTTGTAATGATTTTTATCCTCAAAAAGGACTGGCTCAAATCGATGACCCCACAGGATTTCACTCGTCACGTAAGAGCTGCGACACTGGGTGGTCATGGCCGTGGCTTCCACCATGCCCTCCAAGATCACGACTATCTCCAGCTCTGAACTTTCCAGGTCCTGTTTGCTCATTTTATAGAATGGACTGTCCTCATCAATCTCGTGGACGATGGTGATGGGGGACACTAAAAATATACGGTCAACGCCAGTGTCGAATCCGACATCAACATCTAGCTGATCCAGCGGGATGAACTCGCCTTCAGCGGTGGTGCGAGATTTAAGCAGCTGGGCGCGAACGTGAGCTTCCACCAGGTGGCTTTTCCGTAGGTTCGCGACCCTCCACATCAGACACAGTTTACCGTCCCTCATGGCTATCGTGGCATAGTGACTGAACACAAGGGTTTCATTTCTTTTCTTAGGTTTGGCCATCTTAGCCATGACCGCACCAATAATGAAGGCATCAATGATGCATCCCAAGATGCTCTGGAAAACCACCATGAAGACAGCAAGAGGACAGTCCTCCGTTACATACCGGTAGCCATATCCGATAGTGGTTTGAGTCTCCACGGAAAACAGGAAGGCTGCCGTGAAGCTGTCGACGTTCGAAATGCAAATCTGCTCTTGATTCTCCAAGTCCCCGGACGAAAGTGCAATAAACCAGAATATTAATCCAAAGAGAAGCCAGGACAGCAGGAAGGAGAGGCAGAAGAGGACCATCATCCAACGCCAGCGGATGTCAACGCATGTCGTGAAGATGTCAGCCAGGTAGCGCTGACCTTTTTCACTCATGTTGATGAACTGCACATTGCAGTGTCCGTCCTTGTTGACGAAGCGGCTTTGTTCTTGGTGCTGCGAGTGCACTTTGCTGCCCACGTTTCCATTGCCGAAGCCATTTTGCACAGCGATGGGGGACAGCTTCATCCCGGCTTCTTCCGAGGAAACTATGCTGTACCGGTGGGCTCTCACACTTCCCATCACTTCCGAATGAGGGGGCTGAGCCTCGTCTGCTTTGGACAACAGTCTGAGTTTTTGGAGGACACGTTGGAGAAACACCTTCGACCTCTCACATGGACCAACGCACAAACAAAAATCAGGATTTCCTTGAAATCAAGCCAGCAATGAGATGGATGTCGCAAAGAAACAATGTTTCGGGCTACGAGGATCGCTCCTCTTCCGTGAAATGACTGCACATCGTCTGCAAAACTGGGCTGAGAAAATAACACAAAGTAAGAGTTTGAAGGAATGAGACTGAGGACTGAGACGACGAAGCTAGCAGTTCAGTTTGACATAAAACATAAAAGGACATAAAAACTGTTTTAAAGTTTAACTGTCAAGGTCAAAACAAATACATTTCAGTGCATGCAAAGCCATTTCTCCTTTGGCCAACATTAATATCAAGGGTGATATAACACTTGACATGACCTGACATAGCTATGTATAGATTAGACACAGATGTAGATTAGAGCTGCATATTCAGTCAACAACTGATACACAACATATATACAAATGTATAATGACAATAAGATTCATTTTTTCTAATACGATTTAATTTCTACAAAATAATTAATGATATTGTCATGTGCCATTCAATACTCTCTAAATGACATGGGGAGAAAAATACATACTATTCTTCATCCCATCTCCAATATTTTAATATTTTTCATGAAGGAAAGTAAAAAGTTTCATGTCAACTACCCATATTTCTTTTGTAATTTAAGATAATCTTGTGATTATCTGTTATTTAGTTTTGGTCAAGTGGAATCAAGGCATAGGCAGATGGAAATGCGTTATGTAAATACACTTGATTCTCCTTTTTTTTTTTTCTCAGATGAGATCAATACAGTGTTGTTTGCTATTTCAGTATGACTATTTCCAAGTAAGATAACCTTTTGGATCAGTTTGGATTATATGTATCAATATATTACTATATTATTATTACTATATTATATTACTAAATAACTATTTATGAATCTAAATAGAAAATCTAGAAAATAGTAACACATAATAATATATTATTAAAAAGGGTGGCATATTAAAGATAGTGAATCTAGTAACAATTAAATAAACAAAGATCATTCGTACACAATGCACCTAAAGAACACTTTAAATGGGTTTAGGCCTCCAACAAAAACAGATGGCATAACATTTGTCGAACAAGTTAAAATTGTTTCTCAATAAAAATGATCTAAAACTGCCCTTGAGAAATTTTGGCAGAAATAACTGCTTAGCCTATCTCTAATGAGTTCAAAAGCAGTTAAGCTACAAGTGATCAAATATATCGAAGCTTAAAACTAAATCTAAACAAAACAAAAACGAAGCTTACCATCCAGAGTTCAAGAACAACAGAAGTTTAGATCAGCACATTTCAGCAGATTGCAGTTGTTGTTATCCGGTGGCATATCCGTCAAACGCTATGGGACTTGATGGTGGTTTCGATCATCTCACTCAGTGCTGGCCAAAGCTCAAGCCGATCGAAGAAGAGTTTGAAAAAGCCTGTTAATCTCCGCCCAGACTGTCGGGTCAGACAGCTGTGATCATTACAGCATCTCTCACTGTAATCATCATAACATGATGCCATAATCAGCAGCTTTACAGAAATGAGGCCAATATTATCATTTCGTTTTCATTGTGAAGTTTTCCAGACAAACTGATGAAGCTATTTTGATACTCTCGAAATCAACATGGAAGTAAAGTATATGTTTGTTTAAAATCGTTCGTTCGATCAGGTACAGAGATGTTGTTTTGTTTGTTCCACCATCGTTTCTACGACCAAGCCTTCACGAAGTTAACCTAGCAAGGAACTGTGTCTGGATGAAAGAAATGATAATAACAATAACGTTGGCTAATGAGAATATTTCATGGTATTTGTGGTATTTATTAATGTGGTATTTATTCATTAATGGGCTGAAGAATTTCTGAGTAAATTTGGGGTTAAGATGTTTTTTTTTTTAACGTTTTTGAAATAAGACTCTTATTCCTAAGGAAAAGTAATTTATTTGATAACGAAATAAAAGCAGTAATGTGAAATATTACAATAACAGTAAAAGTCGGGGGGAAACCCCAAACTTTTGAATGGCACTGTAGGCTTACAAAAGTGAGAACACATTTCTAATAGCCAACACTCAAACCTTTTTTTTTTTTTTTTTTTTTTTTTTTTTTGCGAGCATAGCTGGAAGTAGTTTTACTATGTGTGTTTATGTTTAAAGACAACTTGTCCAGACATGGAAATCACAATTTTAACATTTTGTTACAAATACATTTTTGTACAAATACATTTAAGAAAACAGAAATTAAAAAAAAGTTAACTTGGTCCCTTATTCATTAGTCAGAAAAGAAATAGCCCTCAGTTGTCAAATGATAAGCTGCTGCTGTTGCTGAAATAACCAGTATAAAACGCAGTACTAAACAATACAAGCTTATTTCTAGTGAATAATCATCTCAATGCTTTTCAAATATTAACATGCATAGTCTCTGAAGCACATGAAGACTTACTAATATTACAGTAAGTTCTGGCAAATCTATTGCCTTGATCCTTTCACTTCTCAACCATAAACTCATCAGATTCCTGATTGAAAGATTTTTTTTCTCCGGTCATCTTTTTTAACCTGAGCATACATCACATCACTGGATCCAGCATCTGAAAATATCAGACAATTCAAAATGCACATTTATCATTTTTATGTGGTTTACCCCTATAAATAACTTCCTTACAGTAGATTCTCAATAATGTGTGTACATTTTTAGTGGTTGATGTTTTTATTTTGACACTCACTTTGATCCGTTTCCAGCTTCAGTTTGGAGTAAATGTCGTCATTCCCAGTGTTATTGCCTAGAAGATGCCAACAGTTCATATCACTAGTGCTTACTGTACGTTCAACAGTGCTATGAAATATGGTATTATAACATGTTGTTAAATAACACACTATTTAGTATCCTATCATAATTTTACAGAAAATCATTTTATTTTGAAATGACTAGACCAAATGACCTCAAAATACACAGTTTGCATGCAATGACCTTTCTGGATCAGGTCTGTGTCACAGTGTACAGCAACAAAACCACATCATAATATCATAAGAGCTGAGACTTTTGTTTCCATTTACCTTTGTTTTCTTTCTTTTTCTTCTGTTTCTTTGTTGGTTTGAGTTCAATCTCAGCATATGTGATCTCAGTCGGCTCACTTGCACCGTCTACAATGAACATCAGAGAAAGAAATAAAGACACTTTGTTTAACTTTGCTCTGAAAAAATGACAGTGATACAAAAAATGGATTTGATTTCCAATTTATTTAGAAAATAATACTCATCATAATGACATTAAATACATGGACATCATTAATTACCTGTGCTTATTTCTTTATTAATATTTGGATCAACAGACTCATAAATATGTGATGTTCCTGTAATAAATTAAAACATTAATTAATTTTCAATTATACATACATTTTTTAAATGAAATCTTATAAATTCTACAGAAAAATAATATTTCATGCTGGCACACACACACACACAAAGACATAACATTTCATACAGAAAATAAAATAATTTTTTTTTATACAGTTTTGGATCAAATAAAGCTAAATGACAAGTTCAATATATGTAAATTTAAGACACAAAATTTCATTTTAAACTTTAGAAGAGTGAAATATAATCTGTGAAATCTATCCTGTTAGTCAAAAGTTGTACCTAAGTGTCTTTTATCTGAGCTTGTAAAGATTTCTGTATGAATGCAATGAGTAAAGACTGACCGGACAGCAGTGTCGTGTATCCGGCATCCCTCTGGTTGCCGTGACTGATGTTCTGCTGATGACTGACAGGAGACGGAGACTCAGATCTCACACCTGGTCAAACAAAATATATGTGTAAAATCTCTTTCATGTAATGACAAAGTTTTTATTTATGAATCACATATATGTGTCCAAAACATTAAGCTCCCTCACTGCCTGCTGTCTTAATAGGCAGAAAATTAAACCTGATAAATGACTCATTGGAGAGTTTACAAATGCAGTAACTCTGTATGTCAAACAACTATGGACAAGATGGAGGTTTCAATGAGTTTCAATGATTTCAGTATAGATGACATACATATTTATCATTACTTTTCAGCATCGAAGAAACAAATTATGGTTTCCTAGCCTGACCAGCTGAAATAACCAGCAAACATCAGCTTTACCAGATTAGTAAACCAGCTAAGAGCAGAAAACCAGTTTAGACTGATGTAGTTTGGCAGTTCACAAGCTTTAAACAGAGGTATGAAAATCTGTCACTGAGTTTGGATATGTCATAACGAACCTTTGTTGTTTCTGTAGCGCCACAGCAGGGCCAAGAAGACAATGAGCAAAAATACAACAGTCAGTCCTGCAGTCACTCCAATTATCGTGGGATTGACACCATTAGATCCTGAGGCTGGAGAAACTGAGATACATATATATTTTACATGTAGATCAGTGCTGTAAATCGTACATGAACATTTCATCTGTATTTGTAGTTCTTACTCTCACCTCTGACTGAGATCCAGCTCTTGGGAGACTCTCCTATCTTTGGGTGTTTGCAGTAGTAGAAACCCTCATGTGACTTTGAGACAGTCGGGATGATCATCTCTGTAGTTTGATTCTGGACGAGTGATCCATCTTTATAGAAATCAGCTCTGATGTTTGATCGGGTTGGATATTGATATAAACAGCGTAGAGTCAGATTACATCCTTCAGTCACAGGATGAACAGGACTCTCCAGAATCACACCAGCTACAGAAACACAGGAGACATGCAATATATGAAGAAATCATAATAAAAACAAGACAAAATAAAAAAATAACGCAACCCACATGGTTTCTGTGTTTAGTGTATTGCTATGATGGTTTGGCTGGTTGTTTACTGGTCAACGTTACACTACATCCTGCTCTTGTTTAATAAACCTGTGTATTGATTGTAAACTGTCAATGAAAGTAATAAATACATAAACACAGACTCACAGTGTACAGTGATATTAACAGGATGATAGTTCTCTCCAGATTCAGACTGACACCAGTAAACTCCAGTGTGTGATGTGAGGGTGGATCTGATTGTACATGTAGATCCTTTTTGTGATGCCCACACTAATGATGAACAATATTCCAGCCGCTGTCCGCTGTCTGTGTATCTTCTCACTGTCCATCTGTCAGAGTTACTCTGGTTTTCACAGCTCAGAGAGAGAGAGTCATAGATGAAGTGTTGAGTTCTGCTGGGACTGATGATCAGAGACACTGGAGGAGAAACACCTGACAAGACAATCACAGCATTAATTAGGAAAATCTGTCTTTATTAAATATGAATCAATCATTTAAACTATATGTGAACTCACCAGTGACCCACAGTGGTTGTGTGTTGCTGTATTTTGTGTAAACAGCTGTTTTCTCTCTCTGTCCTTTGCACACATAAAGTCCAGTGTGATTTAGATGAGCAGAACTGACAGTGTATTTTCCTCCAGATCCTCTGCTGCTGTCTGAGAGGAGCTCATGATCAATGCTGCTCCCTGTATAAAGTGAGAATGTGTAGAGTTCACTTCAAGGAACTACTATCAAATCAGGCCCGTTTAAATGACATTGTAACAAAACTTAATCCTGAATACATTGATTACATTGCTGTAACCCATATTTCCCACTGTGTTTAGGTTGTTTTATTCAGGGTTTGTTTAGTGGCTCTTATATGTTGTTACAGAGCAGTGACTGTAATGAGGGATTGGGATCTCAAAGTAGGTTTCACCGCTTACTACATGGAAGTGTTGCCATTAATACCCTGTCTGTTTCTGGTTTCAGACATATTGGATTATATATTTCACTTCAATATAACCAGTTAATTCATATGAAGCACTTTATAACTGACCTGAGACAGTTTCAGTGAACCAGCTAAATGTCCAGCCTGTAGAGGAGCCGTTAACCTCACAGATCAGAGTCACTGGATCTCCTTCAGTCAACCACTTCTGAGGAGAAACACTTAAAACTGCTTCAGGAACTGAAATTGAGACATCGCTCATTAATAACATGTTAAACGTGTGTGTGTTTATGAAGAGATGATCAAACTCACCTGTTACTGTCAGTGTAACTTCATCACTGTGTTGTGATCTGCGTGATCCTCCAGTCTCTGTCCCATAACAGGAGTATTTTCCTTCGTCAGACTCAATAACACTGAATGTGTGTTCCGGTCCTGCACTGAAAACACTGGTTGAACCGTCTTTATACCAGTTGTACCTCCAGCTAGTGACTCCTTCATCATATATGTCACATCTGAGAGTGACTGAGTCTCCTCTGAATACATGATGATCAGGTTTAATGGTCACTCTGGGTTTTGGTCTCTCTGTAGAAAAGCAAAAATAAACATTGAAAATAATGGGATGATAAATAATATAATAAAATATATACAAATAATAATATGTGCTGTTTTTTTATTGTACCAACAGTTACAAAACACTAAATCAAGTTAAACTGAAGTGTTGTTCTCTATGTTTATTTAGTGTCTATAAATAATTTTCATATAGTGTTTTCAAAGCCGTTCAGTATGTGAGGAAAACACTTGCCATGTATTGTCACTGCTACTGGTTTACTGTAATCTGTGTAAAATCCTCCTCTTCTTGCTCTGCATCTGTACTTTCCTCCATCAGAGACTTTCTCAGGACGGATAGTTTTAGTTTTAGTTTTAGTTTCAGCTTCAGAAGATTCAGTTTTTGAGTCTTTACTCCAGAGAAACTCCCATCCATCCCATGACTGACCCAGCACACATCTCAGAGTAACTGAGTCTCCAGTGAACACTGAACCCTTTGGCTGAACAGTCAGAGTCGGTTTGGGAACATCTGTCAATATAAAATCATTGGGAATTTGGGAGGATGAGCTCTGAAACCTTTTCAACAGAATATCTCATTCTTCACTGGCAAACTATTAAAGTATTTTGATTTCATAGACAATGCGAGAAACATTACAGGGTCAAAAAAGCCAACATTATGGGACAGTAAATATGGGACGAAATCTTAGTTAAAAGACAATAAAGGTTCAAAGCCACAATCTTTGTGTTGATAATCCAGAGCTGACTCCCAGTGTCACACCACCAACATCTACACAAGCAGTCAAAGACACTCCATTCAACAAAGTTTTGTGCCTTTGCAGCAGTTCAACATGAACATTTAAAATGATACAATAGATGATAGTGTTGGATAAACTGGTATAGTTTCTGACCAGTAGAGATCAATGGAAGCAAATATTAAATAAATCAATTCAAAGACAGTCTTTGGTTTTGGATGATATTTGTTCAATGTTGCACATGATGGATAAAAATGACTGGGTTGGAAGTTATATAGTGATTTCTTCATCCAATTCAATTTTAAATATGAGAGAAAAGATTGTTTGAAAGATTGTTATTTAAAGTATTACATCTTAATTTAGGCAAAATAAGTCATATTGATGAGGTCTAATCCTCAAACGGTCAAATACTCAACTAATACTATAATGAAAGTTAGTTGACAGGTGCAGTTTTACTCAAAGTCAACACAATATCTGGGAAAGGGGACCATCAAAATAAAGTGTTACCAATTATTATATTTCAGTCTGTAAGGAATTCAATTTGAAAAAGAAAAATCATCATTGATATAAATCATGACTTCTTTTTAGAGTGTTATTTGGTAATGGATGTGAAAAAACATAGTTGAGACTTGGTTTGAAGATCATGTGAGATAATTTTGGTTTAATTTGATTAAGCGAATCACTCATTAATAACATGTTAAATGTGTGTGTGTTTATGAAGAGATGATCAAACTCACCTGATACTGTCAGTGTAACTTCATCACTGCGAAGTGAACTGCGTGATCCTCCAGTCTCTGTCCCATAACAGGAGTATTTTCCTGCGTCAGACTCAGTAACAGGACTGAATGTGTGTTCCTGTCGTTCACTGAAAACACTGATTGAACCGTCTTTATACCAGTTGTACCTCCAGCTAGTGACTCCTTCATCATATATGACACATCTGAGAGTGACTGTCTCTCCTCTGAATACATGATGATCAGGTTTAATGGTCACTCTGGGTTTTGGTCTTTCTGTAGAAAAGCAAAAATAAACATTGAAAATAATGGGATGATAAATAATATAATAAAATTAATACAAATAATAAAATGTGCTGTTTTTTATTGTACCAACAGTTACAAAACACTAAATCAAGTTAAACTGAAGTGTTGTTCTCTATATTTATTTTGTTTCTTATACATAATTTTCAAATAGTGTTTTCAGAGCCGTTCATCATGGAAGAAAAACACTTGCCATGTATTGTCACTGCTACTGGTTTACTGTAATCTGTGTAATATCCTCCTCTTCTTGCTCTGCATCTGTACTTTCCTCCATCAGAGACTTTCTCAGGATTGATAGTTTTAGTTTCAGCTTCAGGATATTCGGTGTTTGAGTCTTTTCTCCAGAGAAACTCCCATCCATCCCATGACTGATCCAGCACACATGTAAGAGTAACTGAGTCTCCAGTGAACACTGAACCCTTTGGCTGAACAGTCAGAGTCGGTTTGGGAACATCTGTCAATATAAAATATCATTGCGAATTTGGGAGGATGAGCTCTGAAACCTTTTCAACAGAATATCTTATTCTTCACTGGCAAACTATTAAAGTATTTTTTATTTCATAGACAATGCGAGAAACATTACAGGCTCAAAAAGGCCAACATTAGGGGACAGTAAATATGGGATGAAATCTTAGTTAAAAGACAATAAAGGTTCAAAGCCACAATCTTTGTGTTGATAATCCAGAGCTGACTCCCAGTGTCACACCACCAACATCTACACCAGCAGTCAAAGACACACTCCATTCAACAAAGTTTTGTGCCGGTGCAGCAGTTCAACATTTAAAATGATACAGTAGACGATAGTGTTGGATAAACTGGTATAGTTTCTGACCAGTAGGTGGTGCTGTAACCAAACCTGCATCTGCTCAGATCAATGGAGGCAAAGCTATTCAATATATCAATTCAAAGACAGTCTTTGGTTTTGGATGATATTTGGTCAATGTTGCATGATAACAATGACTGTTTTTGGAGTTATTGGGATCTCTTCACCCAATTCAATTTTAATTGTGAGAGAAAAGATTCTATGAAAGTTATTAGAAGTATCATTTTCAACCCAAAATAGTTTCCTCAGAACGTATTTCGTGTGATACATAGTTGATTATTTTACCAATGATTAGTATGTTAAAAGAGTTTTTAACATAATCCATGCTCTTAATTTGTGCAAAATAAGTTATATTGATGAGGAGTGAGCACTAATAAGATTATTAGGAATTGCCTTTTGCAGGAAAGCTGGTCATTAGAAGAAATTACATTTTTCATCATCTCAGTAGGAAATCAGTCAAGTAATTCAGAAGCAAAAATCTTCTGTTTCCCCTTCTAACTAAACGTACATTTTAAAATGATGTGTGATTTATTGATGAAAGGAATTTCTAAGAATAAAATTGAATGTGGATTCAAACTCTAGCCAAATTTTTTATAATAATATTGAATTGGTTGATCATTCACTTTTAAAATGTAATTTGGTTAAAACATTTTGATTTGGTAATTGATGTGAAAAACCATAGTTGAGACTTGGTTTTCAGATCATGTGAGATAATTTTGGTTTAATTTGAATAAGCAAATCGCTCATTAAAAACATGTTAAACATGTTAAATGTGTGTGTTTATGAAGAGATGATCAAACTCACCTGATACTGTCAGTGTAACTTCATCACTGCGGTGTGAACTGCGTGATCCTTCAGTCTCTGTCCCATAACAGGAGTATTTTCCTACGTCAGACTCAGTAACAGAACTGAATGTGTGTTCCTGTCGTTCACTGAAAACACTGATTGAACCGTCTTTATACCAGTTGTACCTCCAGCTAGTGACTCCTTCATCATATATGACACATCTGAGAGTGACTGAGTCTCCTCTGAATACATGATGATCAGGTTTAATGGTCACTCTGGGTTTTGGTCTTTCTGTAGAAAAACAACAAAAACATGAAATAATGAGATAAACTTGTAAATAAAAACAATGAATTGTGTTTGAACATTTGTATTGTAAAACACTTAATCAGGTTAGATTGAAGTGTTGTTCTCATGTCACTTATTCTCTGTATTATGAAATCATTTGTGCGTTATGAACGCAAAATACTAGTTTCCTGGTTTGGAAACATCTGTCAGTATAAAACTGGCAAAAAGCTTGAGTTGTAAAAGTTGTTCATCAGAAGATCTCGTCCTCTTATAGCTATAGTTCAATCACTGACTCACAACAGCAACATCTCCAGCCGCAGTCAAAGAGACTCAACATTCAACAAAGTCACGAAGTTCAGCAGTTTACATGAAAAAGAGTTGCAGAGATGAAACACATCATGACTACTTTGTTCAGGTGTAATATGATAATGGTTCAATTGAAAAATGTCAAATCATAAAATAAAAATATAGCCAATAACTTTTGGGAGGCTTGGTGTAAAGATCAACCGCTGTTGTCAAGAAGTGAAAACAGTTCACAAAATATTTTACAATGAGACAAAGTTATAATCAAAAGAAACTGAGGCCACACGTTTATTGCTTGACCCCCAAAAATCTGAACACTTCTGTGTCAAAATCAAAATCAACCACTTCTGTGGAGAAACACTTAAAACTGCTCTGGAAAAAAAACCCCTCTTACTGTAATAACATGTTAAACGTGTGTATGTTTATGAAGAGATGATAAATCTCACCTGTTACTGTCAGTGTAACTTCATCACTGTGTTGTGATCTGTGTGATCCTCCAGTCTCTGTCCCATAACAGAAGTATTTTCCTGCGTCAGACTCAGTAACATTGAATGTGTGTTCCTGTCCTTCACTGAGAAAACTGGTTGAACCGTCTTTATACCAGATGTAACTCCAGCTAGTGACTCCTTCATCTTTTATGTCACATCTGAGAGTGACTGAGTCTCCAGTGAACACTGAACTCTGTGGCCGTACAGTCAGAGTTGGTTTGGGAACATCTGTCAATATAAAGTCAGTGAGATCATAAGATGTGAATGTTTTTCAGCAGATCTCGTTCTCTCACTCGTAAATCATTAATACATTTTTATTTCACAAACAATGTAATAGAGCTGCTGGCAGGAATGACTGGAACAAACAAGGGGAAGATTCACTCAGCGCAATGCAAAGAGTTAAAGGACAACAAAGGTGTAAAGACGCCCCTATGTGGAGTTCAAACCCACATCCTTTAGGTTAGGAGCCCTGAGCTCAACGCAGGGTTTCACACACACCAGCAGTCAGAGACACACAGTATCAGTTACTAAAGGGTTACACACTGCTTTTGTTCAAATCACTTTGTTGTTGCAGGTTCAGCAACTCTAATTATTTTGTTTAAATCTGTAAACAAATGTCAAAAGATATTTTATATTTCAAAATTCTGCATACATTTTTTGGGGGGTGTTTTTGCTACACCTCAGAACCATGTTTGGTGTTACTCACAAGACATGAATCATTTATATAATGTTTAAAAAGCTGTATTTATAATTATGACACTCATTTCATTGCTGGTGTCTCAAGATGAAGATGAGGGAAGACGGACTGAAGACGAGGTTATCAAATATAAACAGGCTTTTAATTACAAGAAGGCAGGCAGGAGTAACAGAGTGCAGAGGAATATAAACGTGACATAAACACTAAACCAACATCAACTGACAACTAAAGACTGAACACAGAGGAACTGAATACACAGAGGAAACAAAATAAATGACAAACAGCTGTGATGAATGAATGTCCAACTGATGAGTGATGGAGGGATGAATACAAACAAAGGAAAACATGTGTCCATGAAAACGAAACTAAAGGTGGATGAGTGCAGATGAGTGACAGCTGGGGCCAGATTCACAAAAATCTTGTTAAATACTTCTACAGCATTTGTTAATATTTCTTAATGTTAATTTCAACATTTACTAATACTTTATTAAAATCTTGTTAACATTAGTTAATGCACTGTGAACTAACATGAACAAACAATGAACAGCTGGATTTTGTATTAACTAACATCAAAAAAGATTGACAAAAACAGTAACAAATGCATTGCTCATGGTTAGTTCATGTTAGTTAATACATTAACTAATGTTTAATAAATGAACCTTATTTTAAAGTGTTACCAAAAAGAGGTTAAGAAAGTTCTTGAGATAAGAAGTTCATAATGTTCCTTCAGGGATTTAAGACAGGTTGGAGGTTATCCTGACTTTAAGAAGTTATTTATGATTTTTTTTTTTTAAACGTTCTTTTCAGGAATATGAATGGGATATTTTTATTATTATTAAACACTTTATTTCAAGGTGATGTAGTTACACTACATGTGCTTCGGCTACTATAGTAATACCAGTAAACTATGTATAATTGATTTACAAGTAAGTAACCCTAAACCAACCTAACTGTAACTCTGTAGTAATGTAGTTACTAATATTACTCAGCACTTATTTGAGTAGGTAACAATGTCACCTTAAAGTAGTGTAAGTGTAACCAAAGTTTGTCTTAAGAACATCCTTAAAAAGAAAGTTGTGAATGTTTGGTGAATCCGGCCCCTGTTTGTAACAGAATTACACATTTGTGATGAAATTTATGAATCAAATTCACTCACCTTCAGTGTGTCCAGAGTGGATGTTTGAAATCAGCACTAAAAACACAAAGTAAACAACTAATAATAAATTATATGTATTTTAAATGTTCATTGTAAGGATCTTTAAACTCAGAGTCTGATTTTTTTTTTCTGTGGGATCTTCTTTGCAAAGTTCTTCCCGTGAAGTAACCGGCTGTGTTTCTCTTACGATGTATTTTGTCTGTAAATTAGCTTTAGGTATAAAGGTCTGTCCCACAGACAGATATTTGGGTTCAGACTCTCTAAAGGCAGACTAACATTATTGCTGAAGAATGTGTTGCTCTGATCCCTTCAGTCAATTATTCTCTCCAGAAGAACTTATTTTGTGTATAAGAGAAATCTACACTGGCGAGCAGTGACAGTTCAGCTGAATACAGGACAATCTCAAAACGATTACACTGTGAACATGGAGCTGATCAACTCTGTATTATACTTTAAACATTTTATAAATGCATATTCTTTCTTTGCTTGTAAAACATAATTTCACTCTCACACTTTCTCAGCTTCACAACACAGACATGTTTAATTTATCTTTAACTCTTTCTTCTAATTGTCTAGATCTAGTGATTATGAGTGTTTCTGTAAAAACCTTTTAGAGTCTGAAAACAGGGACAATTATAACAATTAACTCATATAAACTCTCACTAACTGAATACTAGTGATCATCTACTGAAGACTAACAAGTAAATATCTGCTTAGTGCATCTCAACAGCAAACTGTACAAATCTAACCAACAGAAATGATACAGCAAACAACAAAGCATTAAACCGAGTGAGTGACCAAACAGACTGACCCAAACATTTCTCTTTCTGACTCAGACTCGTCTTTCACTCATATATCATGAACTAGAGCTGGATTTGAAGCTCTCGGAGCATGAAAATAAAATAAAATCAAGAAACACAATTATTTTCTGAGGAAATAATACTCACAGAGCAGAAGAGGAAGTTGACTGAGCTCCATACTGACTGAATAATGACTGACACTAAAAGACAGACTGAGTTAAAGCCTCCAGACTTCCTGATACATAGTCAGATCTTTATTAACATAATAATGACAGATTAAAGACGACATACAAATCTCGTGTGTTACAGAAAACCTTTTGATGAAGTTGATAATCTTCGAAAATGTCACACAAGTTTCCTACTGAAATGTTGTGAACAGCATGAATTTGCCATTATGAGAAGTAATCATGTGTGTTAATGCAAAAGGAATCATAACTTTAATTGATTATATTGTAATAATGGTATTCAATGTATTTATAACTTTATAAGTTAAGAAGCAGAAACTGGTGAACATCCGCGGTTCTGGTTAATGCCACTGATCTGAAAGAGAGGAAACCAAACCACAACTACCTTTTTCTAATCTACCAGGCCTCTAACAATAAAGGTGTCAAGTTTGACACTTATATGTATTCTGTATGTCTCCTTGTGTTTGCAGTCCTGTGCTGTTTCGTCGTCGAATGTGCCTCTTGTTTTCCTGCCAAGATGCTGTTGACAAGTCCAGTCAAATCAAGTCTTTTGTTTGTATTTGTTTAATTTTCCATATTTATTAAAAACCCATTTTCCAGATATTGAGTCCTCACTTCATCTCCTAAACCCCCCACCTGACAAATATAGTGAACTCAGCTCCAGAACGATTCAAATAACAATTTTGTACTTTTGAGAAATTAACGTTTGAAAAGAAAAGAAATGCAATTTTTGTCTTACTGTCCTCAGCATTCATTTCAATCCTTGCCAAAGGTCATCAATCTTTTTGTCATTTGCACATATTTCTCGTGGTGGAGAACTGAACTTTGAGGTGGGCTATGAACAACAAGCTCATCAATGGCAAAAAAAAAAGTGCAACACAAGATTACAATAGCTACATGTGCAACATGGTTTGATACTATTGCGATATCAAACTCCGGCCAGTTGATAATACCTAAAATATCGAAATTGAAAACTCTGGAACAATCTTCCTAACATTGTCCGGGAAGCAGACACACTGTGTCAGTTTAAATAGTTTAAATCTAGACTAAAAACACATCTCTTTGGCCTAGCATAACACACTAGCGTAACACACTATACATTGATCCTCAACATCTCGTCTCCAAACCAACGTGATTACATCCAACCCGATCTCACGACCAAGTCGTACGAATTTGACGAATGATTAAAAAGTGGCTAATTCGTAACAATTCATACGACCTCACTCGTACGAATTAATACGATTTTGCTAACTCGTACATATTTTACGAATTGGCCAATTCGTATGAATTCCCCCACCCCTAAACCTAACCATCACGTGGGTTTAGACAAATCGTACGAATTAGTACAAGTGAGGTCGAACGAATTAGTACGAATTAGCCACTTTTTAATCATGCGTCGAATTCGTACGAATTGGTCATGAGATAGTGTTGTTACATTGACTTACTTCGACAGGTGCCTGGAAGACTGCTTTTGATTTTCTGTTCCTGTGTGTTCCGTGACATAAATGTAATACAATAGAAATTGTAACATAATTACTTAAAGGGATATTCCACTTTTTTTTGGAAATATGCTCATTTTACAACTCCCCCAGAGTTAAACAGTTGGGTTTCACTGTTTTCGAATCCATTCAGCCGATTTTATGATATTTAGAAGAATATCAGTAAACTGACTGTTTCTGGTCTCATTGACTTCTAGGAAAAAAATATACTAAGTCATTGAGAACAGAAACTGTCAGTTTACTGATATTCTTCTAAATATCAGAAAATCAGCTGAATACATTCAAAAATGGTAAAACCCAACTGTTTAACTCTGGGGGAGTGGTAAAATGAGCCTATTTCCAAAAAAAAGTGGAGTGTCCCTTTAAGAACTGAATAACTTAATAACTTACAGTAAGAAGCAAAAACATCATGCAAGATGATTCAAAAACAGGTTTATTGAAACAATCCAAAACAATAATCTCTTAAAATCTCTCTCTCTCTGTGACTGACCATAACTCAACTCCACTTTCTGTTTGACTCAGGAGTGTGTGCAAGTTGCAACTGTACATGTGTGTAAATTATTCTACTGGACAAAAACCTCCTAATGGTATTTATGCTAAATATACAGCCGACTCAGTGTATGTGTGTAAAGAACATGTTGACTCTGATTATTGATTATTATCGAATCTCCATATTGACTCTGATTGAGAATATTCACACATAGATACACACAGATGAATGTTTTAATGCTTGGTGAGCCAGAAACTGCACAAGACACATTTATCCTTCACTTCCTTTGGCTTTGAGTTGCCAAAGGCTTCATGCAGACAAACACAAAAGTTTTCACAGACTGTGGCGTCAGAAACTTCACCTCTGGCTTTCAACATTTTCTTTGCAACTGATCTTCTCTGAAACCTCATCAGTTCCTCTTTTAAAACACTTTCCGGCACGGCTCTATCTGTCTTTCTTTTCCACTGATCATTACAATTATTAAACAGAAACTGCTGTTCATACTTGCATGTAAGGGGATTGTTGCAACACTCTTTAAAGGGATCTTCAGCTGAACATCGGCACTATTTTCTTGTAAAGAAATCATGCACAAAACATTTGTGTGAGAATATAAACTGCATTTCCTTAATGAGTAAGATATAACCTGAAGAAAACTGTTAGAAAAGACAATTATCATCTAAACTGTAGAATAACTAATTTAACGGAGAGACTGCATGAAAGAGGAAGTGCTAGAAAGATAAACTTGTGTGAAGAGAAGCTCATATCAGTTGTCGGATCTTGTTTTATTCGTGCTTCATGCTGAAAGAAACTCAACACATAAGAATCTGAATTAGTGATGTTTGCTAAGTGTCGATCATTGTTCACACTCTGTCACAGGTTTTTCATAAATCTCTAAAATTATTACAGGTTTTCTCAATTACTTAGACACTAAAATCAAATATATTAGCCAAATTTCATCAACGCAACACCATTTTATGAAAGATTCCTCTGAAATTTTAACACTATTCTTGTGTTTCTCAACTTTAAACACATAATCAGCACTTCACACCATGTGTTCATGTTCGGTAGCGTTAAAACCATCAAAGTCACATGACCAGCAGTTCTCATGTGAAGACTAGTGTGCAACAGTTTTACAAAACAGCCACAATAACCACAGGTTAAAATAATCATGTTTGAAATCATTGGATGTACAAAAAAAAAGCATGTTCAAGTATTGTTTAAAACTATAGTTTCTTTCTCTCCATATAAATGTAATAATGTCTGTAGATTACAGTATTTTAGGCTGAAAAGTCCAACTATTGAGAGATTAAAGCATGATTCATTATAGTGAGAGGTCACGATTCTTCTGCTTTTATTGAGACACTGCAAGACAAACACAAGACGCAGAATATTTTTTAAAACCTGTGTTTATTTATTAAAAAAGTAAACAAACATAAAATATGAAATATATCAGCGATACAAATCAGGAGACTTACAGTAAAATAAGGAATAGCTTTTCTGAATAGCTTTTGTGTGGTTATAATGTGAAACATGCAAATATCACACAAGCCTTACAATGTAAAGAATTGCAATTTATTACATAAAGCAGAACAAATAAAAAAAAATCACTTATACATAAATATTGAAAAGCTACTGAAATGTGCTGATAAATAGCAGTAATGTAAGCAAATGTATTAAAAACTTTAGAAACAAACAGTCACTGTCTCTTTGGGCTTTATTTATTTTTTATTTTTTATTTTTTATAAGTAAAATATATATAATAGAAGAGGAAAATAAGTTGCCCAATGGGATTGTGGGAAGTAAACATTGAGTGGGACGGGGATGTACTTAAAGCTTATTGAATGTCTGGTCTATATTAACAATAATATTTTATTGGTCAAAAACAGCAAAAAAACAAAAATGTTAACAGGATAATATCAACCTTGGTGAAAGTCAATATGAAACTACAATTTACCCCTACAAACACACACACACACACACACACACACACACACACACACACACACACACACACACACCAATAATAAAGGGGATTAATTCCTGCATTTAAATGAAGTTGTCACTCCCTAAACATGTTTTTTATAGTAATAATGCTCTGTCTGAGTTTGTGAATGAGATATTAAGAGACTTTAATGAAGATGATGAAGTTTTCTGACCATAACAACATAATATTGTATTAAAGTTTCATCCTCTTCATGAAACTGTTACTGTAAAAACACTCATAAACAATCTCAGCATTTACTCATTTTTCTTGCTTTTAAGTATATTAAATGTAACCAAATTTGACCGTTTTTGTAAAGCAGATTTCACAACAGTGTTTTTAAAGCAACTTTACAAAGATCAAACCCTTAGTGATCACATAATGGTTATTTCTACCCTACACTGTAAAAAATTTCCGTAAAAATACGGTACAATGTACCATATAAATGTGAAGGATTTTTTCCGTATTTGTCTTTTACGGATCTTTTACCCTTATTTTGAATTACGCGTTGCATTGTGGGAACATGATCCCGGCAGCGCGAAAAGTTTAAGACGCATCCGCCATTACACACGCAGATGACCGCGGGCAAAGTTGCTTTTTAGAGCCGGATTTCGGGTGTGTGGAAGCCATTCTGACACTTATGTGGTAAAACTTAAACTTAAAAACGAAAATTATGTTTTGCTTGATGTTAAAAAAGCTGTTAACGTAACGTTATTTTTAGTTACCATCTGGCATTAACTGTTAGCCGTCGTGTTTATCATTTTATGCATATCGTCACACATTAAGACTCGTGGAGGTTCTCGATTGTAGTGTCCTTGTTGTAATGGGCTTATTTACTTGTATTTGTCGTGATGCGGTTTATTTCTTGCCGAGCGAATCCGTTAACTAACGTTAGTTGTGATAGTTCTAACGTTAGCTAGTGTTTTTAGAGCAATTTAATGCCTTCAAGCAAAAGCAACCAGAGGAATCGTCAAGAAAAGTAAACGCCATTAAGACTTGCTTGATTTGAAAGGCATGAAGACACAACGTGAAGAGACTGTGTGTGAATATGCAGTAACTTGACCGGTACAGCTGGATCAAGGAAAACACCAGCACCTTTTCTGCAAAATGAGGTAAGTTAACGTTATGTTTACGTTAGACTTCATGTTTTTGTTTTAGATGACACACACGACTTTAAACCCCAAATAATGAAAGATTAATTTACATTTAGCATGACTGCTATTATCTAAACTTCTGCCTGTAATGTTAGTCATTCTTTCCCTTCTCATTTGTTTATTTCATAATGTTTCTGTTGTTTTCTTATCTATTAACAGGACTTTTCTGCTGTAGTTTACATCCCAAGCACCACATGCATGCTTCTTATGGGTTTGTATTTTGTTTTATTAGCATTATTATGAATGTTCAATACTGGCAAAACACATTTGAATTTTTGAAGTCTGTTTATAGAAAAAGTTGGTTGCTGAATACCCCTTCAAAGATATTTATGTTTACGTGGTCGGTAGAAATACAAATTGTATAGGGAAGATTTAAACAACTATGTTTAAAGCGTTTTTTTAAAGTGATCGTGTTATGTTTTTCATTTTGTAATATCTTTTTCTGTTTCAGGTGGTGGACATTCAGGGTTGCTGTCATTCAAGAAGTTATTGACCACATCTCATACCCTATTGAGGCAGTAAGATGCAAAATACCTGAAGAAAATGGCACTTATCCTGGATTTCATATAAAGGTAGGCAAAACATTTTTAATGAAATTATTTATAGAACATGTTATTGTGATTCTGTTTATTTAGTTGAAAATAATTAAACATATTAGAATGTAGCCTATAGTTGAGCATGCAGACAAGCTGACATGACATGCAATTGGAGTCCACTGGAAAAAAGTCTTAGCATTTTTTAAACAGTGTTTGAATTTGAGAGAATTAAGGATGGCTGACAATTTGTTTATAGTTGATAATTTAGTGAATGTAAAATACTGTACATTTGTTTTTCAACCTCAACCTGGTCTACATGATACTTTGTAGTTAATTTTCGTTCATTTAATTTCTTGTGTAGCTAAAAACATATCCTTTTTTTTTTCTTTTTTTTTCACGTGTAGAAATCCTGAACGAAGGTTGAAAAGGCTGAGATGAAGGAAACGTCCCCATTCCTCCAAAACTGCTGAAGTTCCCGTATGAACAACTTCGAAAAACCAGATAAGTTTCAAGCTTTTGTCAAATCTCAAAATGGAACTTTAACTGAACATACCGAAAAATGAACGTTTTTCATGCAAGTTGTTAAGATCTTAAAGGGATAGTTCACTTTGAAATACATTTTTGAAATCTTTTATACCTCAAGGACATCCAAAATGTAGGTGTCTTTGTTTCCACAGTATTTTCAAGTTTGATATTTTTAGGTCAAACCGTTCTTGTCAGTCATATAATGGAGGTTTATGGGGTTCACCCTGGGTCCCCCTAAAGAGCATGCACAGAGAAGTCCAAATTAAACATGATTTAATGACTCGTGAATGTAAGTACACATTGATGGCCTAAAACACGAAACGAGCGGTTTGTGTGAGAAAACGAACAGTATTTAAATTGTTTTTACCTCTTGTAATCACAGCCACGTCCAAGTGATCTGAAGGATCTCTTCCGGCGCACTTGCGCAGACCGAAGCGCCCTGTGCCTTCAGATCACTTGGACATGGCTGTGATTACAAGAGGTAAAAACAATATAAATACTGTTCGTTTTCTCACACAAACTGCTTGTTTCGTGTCTTAGGCCATCAATGTGTACTTACATTCACGAGTCATTAAATCATGTTTAATTTGGGCTTCTCTGTGCATGCTCTTTAGGGGGACCCAGGGTGAACCCCATAAACCTCCATTATATGACTGACAGACAAGAACGGTTTGACCTAAAAATATCAAAATTGAAAATACTGTGGAAACAAAGGCACCTACATCTTGGATGCCCTAGAAGTAAGATAAAAGATATCAAAAATTAATTTCAAAGTGAATTATCCCTTTAATGAAATCTGAGAGCGTTCTCTCCCTCTGTTGACAGCTCTCCCTCTGCTTACACCTACCACTTCAAGCTTCAGAAAGATAGTAAGATCATAATAAAAGTAACACAGTGTTAGAGTCCTATGCAAATGTGATGCGATAAGATTCTAGCAACAAAACATTTGTGCCACTTTATAAATTTGGGGTTAAACCACTGGAGTCACATGGATTACATTTGTGTCTATACCTTTCTGAAACTTGAAAGTGGTAGTTGCCTAAGCTGTCAATGGAAGGACAGAAATCTCTCAGAGTTCCTCAAAAGATTTTCATTTTTGTTCTAAAGATGAATGTAACTCTTGTGAGGACGGGTGGAACAACGTGCGTGTGAGTAATTACAAATTAAAATTTTGGGGTGAGCTTACGCTTTATGTAATATTGTGTTCTCTTACAGAAAAATGGCATCAACACTAACATTTCACTCTTCTTTAATCCCTAGCTGGCATCTTGGGGAGGACGACCTCGCATCCAGTATGCTGCTGTGGGTGCCGCAGGATTTCGAACTCATTCGATCACTTGTCTCCATGCTTTTCGAACTAATCGTGCTGTGGGTCAAGCCGCTGGATCTTCAGATCTTCTTCGATTTGCTTAATCCATCCTTTTTTTGGGTGCAGTGCGCTGGATTCTACACTGGGTTGGACGTTTCTTCCAGAGGACTTGTGTGGTATTCAATTTGCATCCATTCTACACGTGTCCAAACATTTCACTCTATTGACTAGAAGTCTAAAGCAATTTTTAAGGATAAAAGCAGAAGCCTTATCTTCATTGCATTTTATTTGTTTCTGTATTGTATCGTATTCTATTAGTATTGCATTTGAAAATGTTTTGACTCTTGACTTTCACAGTTTATGAAGGTTTTTTTTTTTTTTCCCCCATTTTTTTAAAATAATTTTGTGATCTATTTGGTACAACACCAATATTTTTTTTTTTTCATTTCTCCCATGTTTGTTTAATGTCTTAACTTTTTCCACAATACAAGCACTTTTTATGGTGCTTTGCACATTGTTAATTGTGTGTGTCTGTCTGTGTATATCAATTTTTACCCATTGAATGCGTTTTAAGAATGTTTACATGAAATTTTGACAAAAATAAAACATGTTCAATATGTATATATTGTTCTTGAATTATTTGCTACCAAAATATATGCTATAAAAATAGAAATTTCTGTATAAGGATTATCCGTGAATAGTACAGAAAATACGGAATTTTCCATTTTAGGTTTGACGGAAATGTCCGTCAATGGTACAGAAAAACTCATGTAAATCTACGGAAATATCCGTTCTAAGGTTTACGGAAGTGCCCGTACAAAAACGGAAAAAGTGCTGGTAATTAATTACCAGCACTTTTTCCGTTTTTTAACGGAGATTTTTTTAACAGTGTACCTCACGACTGATTTGTTGTTCAGTTAAAATGAATGATAATAATGTCTTGTAATAAATCACTCGGGTGTTTTTCCTCTCATTCTGCAGTATTTGTAAATCAGCACGACTGTCACTATCAGATATGGACAAGCTGCCAGTCCAGAACTGAGTGTGTGGAGGACAGAGATCTGAGAGTCTGAAGGAGACCCTGAAAAAGAGACACACACTTTATCATGCACTATTTCTGAACGAGGGCAAATGAAGACATAAATCGGTTTGATTGACTCTCACCTCTGACTGAGATCCAGCTCTTGGGAGACTCTCCTCTCTCTGGGTATTTGCAGTAGTAGAAACCCTCATGTGACTTTGAGACAGTCGGGATGATCATCTCTGTAGTTTGACTCTGGACGAGTGATCCATCTTTATAGAAATCAGCTCTGATGTTTGATCGGGTTGAATATTGATATAAACAGCGTAGAGTCCGATTACATCCTTCAGTCACAGGATGAACAGGACTCTCCAGAATCACACCAGCTACAGAAACACAGGAGACATGTAATATATGAACAAAATCATAATAAAAACAAGACAAAATGAAAAATAACGCAAGCCACATGGTTTCTGTGTTTAGTGCATTGATATGATGGTCTGGCTGGTTGTTTACTGGTCAACGTCACACTACATCCTGCTCTTGTTTAATAAACCTGTGTATTGATTGTAAACTGTCAATGAAAGTAATAAATGCATAAACACAGACTCACAGTGTACAGTGATATTAACAGGATGATAGTTCTCTCCAGATTCAGAGTGACACCAGTAAACTCCAGTGTCTGTGATGGTGGGTCTGATTGTACATGTAGATCCTGTTTGTGATCCCCACACTGATGAACAATCTTTCAGCCCACCGCTGTCTGTGTATCTTCTCACTGTCCATCTGTCAGAGTTACTCTGGTTTTCACAGCTCAGAGAGAGAGAGGCAGATGTGAAGTGTTGAGTTCTGCTGGGACTGATGATCAGAGACACTGGAGGAGAAACACCTGACAAGACAATCACAGCATTAATTAGGAACATCTGTCTTTATTAAAGATGAATCAATCATCTAAACTCTATATGTGAACTCACCAGTGACCCACAGTGGTTGTGTGTTGCTGTATTTTGTGTAAACGGCTGTTTTCTCTCTCTCTGCTTTGCACACATAAACTCCAGTGTGTTTTAGATGAGCAGAACTGACAGTGTATTTTCCTCCAGATCCTCTGCTGCTGTCTGAGAGGAGCTCATGATCAATGCTGCTCCCTGTATAAAGTGAGAATGTGTAGATTTCACTTCAAGGAACTACTGTCAAATCAGGCCCGTATAAATTACATTGTAACAAATCTTAATCCTGAATACACTGGTTCACATTGCTGTAACTCATATTACCCACTGTGTTTAGGTTGTTTTATTCAGGGTTTGTTCAATGGCTCTTATGTTGTTACAGAGCAGTGACGGTAAGGATTGGGATCTCAAAGTAGGTTTCACTGCTTGGTGCTCATGGAAGTGTTGCCCTTAATACCCATTATTATTAAATTATTTATTCCACTTCAATATAACCAGTTAATTCCTATGAAGCACATTATAACTGACCTGAGACAATCACAGTGAACCAGCTGAATGTCCAGCCTGTAGAGGAGCCGTTAACCTCACAGATCAGAGTCACTGGATCTCCTTCAGTCAACCACTTCTGAGGAGAAACACTTAAAACTGCTTCAGGATCTGAAATAGAGACATCGCTCATTAATAACATGTTAAACGTGTGTGTGTTTATGAAGAGATGATCAATCTCACCTGTTACTGTCAGTGTAACTTTATCACTGTGTTGTGATCTGCGTGATCCTCCGGTCTCTGCCCCATAACAGGAGTATTTTCCTGCGTCAGACTCAATAACACTGAATGTGTGTTCCTGTCCTGCACTGAAAACACTGGTTGAACCGTCTTTATACCAGTTGTACCTCCAGCTAGTGACTCCTTCATCATATATGTCACATCTGAGAGTGACTGAGTCTCCTCTGAATACATGATGATCAGGTTTAATGGTCACTCTGGGTTTTGATTGTTCTGTAGAAAGACAACAATAAACAATGAAAATAATGGGATGATAAATAATATAATAAAACAAAAACAAATAATAAAATGTGCTGTTTTTATTGTACCAACAGTTACAAAACACTAAATCAAGTTAATCTGAGGTGTTTATCTGGACTGTAAAACCTGATGAGTTAGTTCAACTCAAACCGTTTGAGGAAACCGATTGCCTTAAATCATTTAAGTTTATTAACTCAAACAATTTAATCATAAAAAAAAATTCAAAAAAAAACTCAATAACTTATTGTTAAGATAACTTGGGTAAATAAAGTTAATAGTACTAATTAGTTACTATAACTTAAATCTATGAAGTACACTGTAAATCCGAAAAAGTTGGCAGAACTCAAATCACTTTAAATAGTATAAACGTAGTTAGCTTTAAAAGCTAATCTGCTGACGTAGTAAATGCTAACATATTAGAAACAGCATGTTATAAGCACTTGCTGTATGAGCGTAATGGGATAATTTGCTCTCAAATCAAGCTGAATGCACCACTTGACACCATGATGGTAACTCCTAAAGCCAACATTAATAGAAATTCTTCTAAATTAGCATAACAAAACATTAATCACTACTAAATCTCACACTTAACATTAATCTTACACAAAAAAAACATTATATTGCACTTAATTTTAGCATTTACACTCTCTTTCGAGTGCCATCGGCAAAACATGCTGGGAAATAGATATCCCAGCCGTTTCAGTTAAACGTAAGTTCGTCTAAATTGAAATAAATAATTTCGTAAAACTCAAAATAATGAAACAGTTCAGATTACTTAAAATATATCATTTCTGTGAACTTGAAAGAAAAAGAAAGTGCCAAATACTCATAAAAATTAATTTGACTGAACTAATTCGTTGAATTTAAAGGAACACTCCGACTTTTTGGGACTTTAGCCTATTCACCATATCCCCCAGAGTTAAATAAGTCCATACATACCTTTTTCATCTCCGTGCGTGCTATAAGTCTGTTTGACGCACCCACCGCTAGCCTAGCTTAGCACAAAGACTGGATGTGAATGGTTGCACTTTCATAGTAATCCAAATGAGTGACAAAATAACGCAATTGTTTTCCTATTTACATGTTGTGATTTGTATAGTCACAGAGTGTGCAAATAACAAAGTCAAATGAGACACAGACATCTTTTAACCGTATAAAACCTGGGAACTATTCTCTGAAGGCGAAGCACTGCTACTTTGGCGGAGTGATTACCGGATCACCGGAGACACGCCGTGGTGAGGAGCGGAGAGTTCGCTCAGTGTTTGGGTAATAGAGTCAGCAATTTATAAATAGTAAAAGCGTAGTTTACAGTCATGGGTTTTCGCTCTATTGTAAATAGCTGCGACTGTAAACAGGGGAGGTAATACCATGTTTCACAGAATTCCAACTAAAAACGCTGACTGGATGAAGAAATGGCTAACTTACTCTGGATATTTATCCAAACACACCTAGATTATCAAGGGACATTATGTTTGCTCGGTACATTTCAATGAGGACGATTATTATGATAAAAATGGAATTTGAAACATGTGCTGAAGGATACGGCCATCCCATCGATAGCACAGACAGGACAAGTGGATCACCTGCGGCTGAGGTAAGTGTTATGTTTTTAGATGCCCTACTGTAACAGTGCCATTAGCCAGATCTAATGTAACGTTAGTGACTCTATTATATGATTAGGGTATGAATATGTTTTTATCTTGATGCGGTGCGGAGGCGCTTGGAAAAAAACGAGCGCGTTGAACTTGCACCCTGGAAATAACGAACTTGAGCGTGCAAAAGGGTACGATAGGCTGTGAGTTCATTGTGCAAAAACAATTTGTGCTATTACTTTCCCCTTATTCTATCCTATAGTAATGCAATTATACTGTATATTATATACTGTTGAATACATTTGGTTCAGCTAATAAATTACATTTAAAATATATTGATTCCTGTAATAATAATTGTTTATTCATGTTCTGTGATATTTATAAATCTGGGTGCGTTTTTGGTTGGAATTCAATGAAACATGGTACCTGGTCTCCCCTGTTTATTGTCACAGCTCATACAATACAGCAAACACCCATGATAAACTATGCTTTTCTAACGTTAATAATTGCTGACTCTTTACTCCAACACTGAGCGAACACTCTGCTCCTCGTCACGGTGCGTCTCAGGTGATGCGGTTATCACTCTGCCCAAGTAGCAGTGCTTCGCCTTCAGAAAATATAGTATTTATACGGTTAAAAGATGTCTGTGTCTCATATGGCCTTGATATTTGCACACTCTGTGACTATACAAACCACAACATGTAAATAGGAAAACGTTTGCGTTATTTTGTCACTCATTTGGATTAGTATGAAAGCTGCAACCATTCACATCCAGTCTTTGTGCTAAGCTAGGCTAGCGGTGGGTGCGTCAAACAGACTTATAGCACGCACGGAGATGAAAAAGGTATGTATGGACTTATCTAACTCTGGGGGATATGGTGAATAGGCTAAAGTCCCAAAAAGTCAGAGTGTTCCTTTAAGTTTGTCCTGCTCAAACCAATTAATTATTTTGACCGTTAGGGTTTACACTGAATGATATTATTGTAATTTACTGTTTATTATTTACCTTGAAAATCTATAAGCTGTATAACTCTAAAACAGTCTATCCAATATATATAGTTTCACCTAGTACTATGTTAAAGATTTGCCAATAAATTATTCAAAGCTGTGCACTTTTATTAGTGTTTTATAAATAATTTTCATATAGTGTTTTCAGAGCCGTTTATTATGCGAGGAAAATACTTGCCATGTATTGTCACTGCTACTGGATTACTGTAATCTGTGTAATATCCTCCTCTTCTTGCTCTGCATCTGTACTTTCCTCCATCAGAGACTTTCACAGGACGGATAGTTTTAGTTTTAGTTTCAGCTTCAGCTTCAGGAGATTCAGTGTTTGAGTCTTTACTCCAGAGAAACTCCCATCCATCCCATGACTGACCCAGCACACATGTAAGAGTAACTGAGTCTCCATTGAACACTGAACTCTGTGGCTGAACAGTCAGAGTCGGTTTGGGAACATCTGTCAATATAAAATATCATTGGGAATTTGGGAGGATGAGCTCTGAAACCTTTTCAACAGAATATCTCATTCTTCACTGGCAAACTATTAAAGTATTTAGATTTCATAGACAATACGAGAAACATTACAGCGTCAAAATGGCCAGGATTATGGGACAATAAATATGAGACGAAATCTTGAAAGACAATAAAGGTTCAAAGCCACAATCTTTGTGTTGATAATCCAGAGCTGACTCCCAGTGTCACACCACCAACATCTACACCAGCAGTCAAAGACACACTCCATTCAACAAAGTTTTGTGCCGGTGCAGCAGTTCACATGAACAATTAAAATGATACAGTAGATGATTGTGTTGGATAAACTGGGATAGATTCTGACCAGTAGGTGGTGCTGTAACCAAACCTGCATCTGCTCAGATCAATGGAGGCATATTCACATCAATTCAAAGACAATCTTTGGTTTTGGATGATATTTGGTTAATGTTGCATGATAACGATGACTGTTTTTGGAGTTATTGTGATTTCTTCACTCAATTCAATTTTAATTGTGAGAGAAAAGATTGTATGAAACATAAGTATTATTTTACCAATGATTAGTATGTTAAAAGAGTTTTTAACATAATCCATGCTCTTAATTTGGGCAAAATAAGTTATATTGATGAGGAGTGAGCACTAATAAGATTATTAGGAATTGCCTTTTGCAGGAAAGCTGGTCATATAAGAAGAAATTACATTTTTCATCATCTCAGTAGGAAATCAGTCAAGTAATTCAGAAGCAAAAATCTATTATTTCCCCTTCTAACTAAACGTGCATTTTAAAATGATGTGTGATATTGATGAAAGGAATTTCTAAGAATAAAATTGAATGTGGATTCAAACTCTAGCCAAATTTTTAATAATAATATTGAATTGGTTGATCATTCACTTTTAAAATGTAATTTGGTTAAAACATTTTGATTTGGTAATGGATGTGAAAAAGCATAGTTGAGACTTTCGATTGCTATAAACGACAGTGAGCACGACTGGAGCTAAATGTGCAAAACTCTAACTACAGTCTGCATTACGTACTACGGAAGCCCTGAACCGCAACCTAAAAAAAAAAAAAGTCAGTAAAAAAAAAAAAAAATCTGTAAAAAAAAAAAAAATCTGTAAAAAAAAAAAAATCTAGCATTTCGAGATTAAAGTTGAAATGTTTCGAGATTAAAGTCGAAATGTTTCGAGATTAAAGTCGGAATGTTTCGAGATTAAAGTCGCGTCCACTGGCTCAGAGCGCGCGCGTGTGTGTGTGTGAAGTCGAACTGCCATGGATAAACACAAAATAGTAGCCTAGCTTTTTACTTTTATCTGAATTACTTATCTTACTTTATCGTTATAAAATATAATGCGCCGGAATAGACTTTAGCCTATAGGAAAACCAACACGGAAAACACTTTTCAGACTGGATGGAGAAATCCAGCTTTATGAATGAATGAATGAATGAATGAATGAATGAATGAATGAATGAATAGGGCATTTATATAGCGCTTTCATATATGCCTACACTCAAAGTGCTTTACAATCATATCAGAGAATCTCTCCTCAACCATAAGTGGTTATTAAATCTTAGGAAATCACAGGATCCGGCCAAATGATTGGATACAGAATGATGCACTTAAAATGTATCCAGAGCGTATTTACGGTGAAGAGGGAGACCGAACAGTACTGTTGTGTTCTCGACCCAGATAGTGTTGACTAGACGAGCACGAAAACACCTCAGAAACACTGCCACTAGCACGTGTGACGTGTGTAGATTTAGTTGAAAGCCCAGATAAAAGTAAAAAGCTACTATTTTGTGTTTATCCATTGCAGTTCGACTTCACACACACACACACGCGCGCGCGCTCTGAGCCAGTGGACGCGCACTGTTATGAATGCACAATGTTTCGACTTTAATCTCGAAACATTTCGACTTTAATCTCGAAACATTTCGACTTTAATTTCGAAACATTCCGACTTTAATCTCGAAACATTTCGACTTTAATCTCGAAACATTTCGACTTTACTGTAATCTCGAAATGCTAGATTTATTTTTTTTACTGATTTTTTTTTTTACTGATTTTTCATCTTTGCAGTTTCAACAATTTCAGACTTCATACAAAGTAATATTTTCTTCAAAGAAGTCTTTCATTTGATATATTTACATTTTTAGAACATAACAATTGAAAATTAGCAGTTTGCTTCAATAGTCTGTTGTAATTTACAGAATTACAGCAATGAAAAAAAAAGGTAGAAACTAAAAGCACATACTGTAATACTGTAACCCTGCCTCTCTCAAGCATTAGGCCACAAGTTTTTAGCCTTTCAGCTGAAATTGTTTGAAAATCAGCAGTGTGTGAAAGGCACAAGGCTGAAATTTATTCTGTTTTGAATGAGTGGTTCACAGTTTTGACAGCAGTGTGTTAGCATTTGAACAAAGTGCTGTAAATCTACAGTGTTGTGCAGGTTGTGGTTAAAGTCATGGGATAAGTGTGTAGAGTTTTGAAAACTGTGTTCAAGCAATGAAAAACGAACTAGAGTTTGGTCCACATGAACAGCTGCGGTGCAGACTGTAGTTAGAGTTTTGCACATGTAGCTCCAGTTGTGCTCCACTGTGGTTTAGCAATTGAAAAAAACTGTAAGATCATGTGAGATAATTTTGGTTTAATTTGAATAAGCAAATCGCTCATTACATGTTAAACGTGTGTGTGTTTATGAAGATGATCAATCTCACCTGATACTGTCAGTGTAACTTCATCACTATGTTGTGAACTGCGTGATCCTCCAGTCTCTGTCCCATTACAGGAGTATTTTCCTGCGTCAGACTCAATAACACTGAATGTGTGTTCCTGTCGTTCACTGAAAGCACTGGTTGAACCGTCTTTATACCAGTTGTACCTCCAGCTAGTGACTCCTCCATCATATATGTCACATCTGAGAGTGACTGTCTCTCCTCTGAAAACATGATGATCAGGTTTAATGGTCACTCTGGGTTTTGGTCTTTCTGTAGAAAGACAACAAAAACAATGAAATAATGTGATAAAATAAGAAATAAAAACAATTAATTGTGTTTGAACTTTTCTATTGTAAAACAATCAGGAAATCAGGATATTATTGCTTGACCCCTAAAAATCTGAACATTTCTGTGTCAAAATCAATCACTTCTGTGGAGAAACACTTAAAACTGTTCTGGAAAAAAAACCCTCTTATTAACATGTTAAACGTGTGTGTTTATGAAGAGATGATAAATTTCACCTGATATTGTCAGTGTAACTTCATCACTGCTGTGTGAACTGTGTGATCCTCCAGTATCTGCCCCATAACAGAAGTATTTTCCTGTGTCAGACTCAGTAACACTGATTGTGTGTTCCTGTCCTTCACTGAAAACACTGATTGAACCGTCTTTATACCAGTTGTACCTCCAGCTAGTGACTCCTCCATCATATATGTCACATCTGAGAGTGACTGAGTCTCCAATGAACACTGAAGTCTGTGGCCGTACAGTCAGAGTTGGTTTGGGAACATCTGTCAATATAAAGTCAGTGAGATCATAAGATGTGAATGTTTTTCAGCAGATCTCGTTCTCTCACTGGTAAATCATTAATACATTTTTATTTCACAAACAATGTAATAGAGCCGCTGGCAGGAATGACTGGAACAAACAAGGGGAAGATTCACTCAGCGCAATGCAAAGAGTTAAAGGACAACAAAGGTGTAAAGACGCCCCTATGTGGAGTTCAAACCCACATCCTTTAGGTTAGGAGCCCTGAGCTCAACGCAGGGTTTCACACACACCAGCAGTCAGAGACACACAGTATCAGTTACTAAAGGGTTACACGTTGCTTTTGTTCAAATCACTTTGTTGTTGCAGGTTCAGTAACTCTATTTATTTTGATTACATCTGTTAACAAATGTCAAAAGATATTTTCTATTTCAAAATTCTGCATATATATATATATATATATATTTATTTTATTATTTTTTTGTGTTTTTGTTACACCTCAGAACCCTCTGTGTGGTGTTACTCACAAGACATGAATCATTAA